ACCAAGGGCTCTGAGCGAGCCCTTGGGGATCCTAAGGGAGGGGGCGGGGGGGGGGAGCATGCTATGTGTGCCGCCGCTGTCTGTGCCCCGGGGGTATCATTGTGTGAGATTATTCAAGTGGTATGCAGGTTTTACAATTATGATACTAAAAACTGCAGGGCAAGGCAATCCTCGGGCTCGGCCTCTGATGCCGCTGTTTCCCTTTTGTCCAGTTCCCACATAACCTATAGTGGGTTTCCCGTTGCGACGACGATGAGACTGTGCAGCATGGGGAAAAAGCGCATCAGTACCTGTCGACGTGCTGCGACATATACCAATGCATGAACTGTAAACGATTTGATGACGTGGTGTTCATCTGTGGTTTACATGACACCAAAAATACTGCGTCGAATCACGCCTGCTTGCCGCCAGAGATGAAGGAGGACGTAGGCAACATTATTTCTACGTCGCCACCACAGATTCAGCGATAAGAAGCTGTCCTTGTTTCTTTCACCGACTACGCCTTGGTGTCAGCAGCCATTGGCTGAGAAAAGGCAAAATTTGGAAGGTACTAACCTGTGCTTCATGGCACAGGTGCGGCTCTTGTACCTTCGGTGCAGAGCTGGCGCCGAGATGCTGCTATGTTGCATAACGGGTGACTGAAATGGGCCATTCTGTACCGGTTTCGGGTCCCGACATGCAACTGCTCGTCAGTTTGCTGGGAGAAACGAAATAGCCTGCTTTGTTTCGGTCGCGCCATACCTAAGTTGGGTGATGCGAAATCAAGAACTTTTTCATTTTCATTTTTTCATGCTTCATGTTAGCATTTTCTCAAGATGCAAGCAATATACACAAAAGAACACATTAGAGGCGACGGCCTTGGTTAAATCATACACCTTCCCATCCAACAAGACTATAACAAGACTATTTCTTCTCCGAATATGCCATAATATCGGCTGCAAGGTTTATCAATAATTGATTAGCTGGCGTCCCAGCCGCGCGACCTGGGATGGAAGGCCGGGAGACAAAACTCTCGCAAAGCTTTTTCGGGAATTAATTGCCTAAGTTGGAAATATATATGCAAACCGAAGGTACACGGGCGCATCTTAAAGAAACAACTAGAAATCATGCTGACATGAAAGGTCAAGGTCAGGGCAAAGGTCTGCAGACCCCCATTAAATGTTTTCAGGGGCTGGGTCAATTGGAGTGTTTCATTTCCTCAAAAAGTATATGCTCTTTGGGTAAATGAGGATGCTGTGTCATGAATATGTAGATGACACAATGGGTCAGGTCAAGGTTATTCCAAAGGTTACGGTGATAATTTGCTGTATTCATGCGATCTTATTCAAAATATTTTCATGTTCATTTTGACTGTGTTATGCAGCCTACATGTCAGCTGCAATATGTTCTGGTCATTACATAGCCAAGATGTAGGTAGGATGTCAAGATGAGGTCATATGAGGCCAACATGACACACAGTATGCTAGTCATGTCATGCATGTTTCCAGATTGCTTATCCCACAGGAATCCAATATAATCACTTATAATCCTGCATCAGGTCATCTTAGTGCCTGAAGAGATCAAAACCTGTCATTTGTTACAACTTACTACAACCTTTGAAAAACATTCAAGAGCCATGTGCAGGTAAGGAAATCAATTTTGAAGCTGCTGCATAAAAGCTACTGCTCTGCTCATGTCTTGTTTGAAATGTAGATTTCATCATTTTCAGAGGTAAAAATTTAAACTTGTCTGCAAAAAAAGGCAAACTTTTTTGTAACAATTAGACAATGCCTAGTGCACAGCCTGCCTGTATCTATCCATGCATAACACACTACAGCATGATTTTCCAAATACCAGGAGCAGCCATACAGTGTCCTTATTCTAAATATCAATGACAATGGGACATACGTGAAAGACCCGGTCACAACATTTATTTTCTATGCAGCATACACAGTTCTCACTCTTGGTGGCTTAGGGCACCAATGCACATCCAATGTCTATTCACAGCAGCACAGCCTTGTGATGGTTCTTCTCACCATAAGGACTGCAGACACCCCTCTTTCCACATCTCCCTCTTGGGTACCTGTCTCTGACAATTTCATTGCAGGTCCCTGGTATATCTAAGCAAAAAAAGTACAGTGCTGTAGTTATCATCAGGTTTCAAGGGAAGAGCTAGCCTTTATGATACCCTTGATATAATTAGACTCATACAGCAAAATATGAAGCTTCAACCACAAAGCATGCAATGGAACAGCTACAAAAATGTCATATCTTGTCACTTTCATGGAAATTATATATCCATCACATAATGTGCTTACATGCACTCACATACCTATGGACGATGATGTGACGATGAAAAATTGATGTGACATGGGATCCAGTCCCCAAAACAGTCATAATCAGATGAGACTGCAACCTAATCCTACACATAAATATTCACAGCATTATGTTTGCTAGCTGTCATTTGTACTGCTCATATCTCATACCTCAAAATTATTTCAAACAAAAAATCAAAAAAGAGGCTAGTTATCTGAGCAGTGTCTGGATTAACTGAATAGATGCATCATCTTCACAACACACAATATCAATAATGTGGTACATTTTGTACCACCAGGTTCATACATGTCCTCAAAAATGCAGCTATAGAAACAGAACACACACAATCAAGCATAGTGCAGGCCAGCAAGCAAGGCACTCAACTCCCTGCAATGATTTGGGCTTTGGGGCGCACCGACTTCGTTGGTCATAAGGCATTCTCAACTCCATGTAACTAGCGGCCCAATGCCGCCTTACACTAAAATCATGGAGAAAAACCTGTGCCTTTAACATTACCATCAAGTTAACAAATGGCTACCGCACACACAAACAGCACCGGGTACAATACACTTCCTTAGCTTTCGCGCACACCACACAAAAGCTTCAAACACACCATAATTTCAGGCACAACCCCATACACGTGGCCTGGCGCGTCGCAATCAACTTGTGAGCTGGTTATATTTCCAAACAGCGCAGCGGGACATGTTGAAACACTGCCGTAATTCGCTGCGCTACAATACCACAGTTATCGTCTGATGTTTATCACGCATAGAACCGACTTCTCGCGCGGGATTCTGCATTTTTGCGCTTCCTTGCCTCCAAGGCTGCCAATGCACGTATGCCTGACACGTACAAGCATCTGAAAGATTTTTGGAGGGTGTATAAGCCCGGTGCGTAACCGCCCTCCGTTTTGGAGGGTGTATAAGCCCGGTGCGTAACCGCCCTGCATTTTGGAGGGTGTATACGCTCAGCCTTCTGAAAATCGCTGTCGTTGGGGTGGAATTTTGCGTAATTTCCGAGTTATACGCCGCGTAACATCCCAATGTCATATTGCAGGGCGTCTCGATTGCCTTGAAATTTGGTGTGCAGGGCCTTCCCGACATGCTGATTCCGAAAATCACGGCCTTTAGGGTAGAATTTTGCATAATTTCCGAGTTATACGACGCGTGACACCTCAGTTGCTCTTTGGAATATGTGTCCTGGAATTCGCCTTTGGGCCTGTCCGTATCAGTTTACTGGAGAAGGTCAGTTCGCGACATGTGAGTGATAACTGTGTGGTATGTGATATCATTGACTTGGTGGCATCACCCAGTGGCATCGCTTTCAGCTTTGTTTCTTTTCTGACCTTTAAGGTGGTGGAGTGGTAGTCCGACGTAGTCACGGGCATTTTTTGTCCTGACCAAAATCTGACAAGATGTCGCTGGTGATCAAACCAATCGTGCCCCACCGCTGAAGCATGAAGATTTGGGTGATGTCACCGTCTGTCTTATCTCCCAAGGACGCTGGTGACGCTGGTCGAACAGCGTATGCTACTTGTGCACGCCATGCCCATGTTGTTGGCTGGCCGGCCACATCAGCCCGCTGCTGCTGACCGTGGTGGAGACGCTGCACTTCGATTTTCGGAATCAGCTTGTTGAGAAGGCCCTGCACACCAAATTTCAAGGCAATCGAGACGCCCCGCAATATCCAACTGTTGTGTTACGCGGCGTATAACTCGGAAATTACGAAAAATTCCACCCCAAAGGCAGTGATTCTCGGAATCAGCGTGTTGAGAAGGCCCTGCACACCCAATTTTAAGGCAATCGAGACACCCCCGGAATATTCAACTGTTGCGTTACGCGGCGTATAACTCGGAAATTACGCAAAATTCCACCCCAAAAGCAGTGATTTTCGGAATCAGCGTGTTGAGAAGGCCCTGCACACCAAATTTGGAGGCAATTGAGGCGCCCCGCAATATCACATTGGGATGTTACGCGGCGTATAACTCCAAAATTACGCAAAATTCCACACCAAAGGCAATGATTTTCGGAATCAGAATGCCAAGAAGGTCATGCACACCAAATTTGGAGGCGATCGTGACGTCCCGGAATATCCAACTACATATATATATATATATATATATATATATATATATATATATATATATATATATATATATATCAATCTGCTGCAAGACTGACAGACGTTGAGGGATGACAGGGGGATGAGTGCCCCAAACCGTGGATCTCACGCGCGCTGGATTTTATGAGCACTGGACTTTATGAACACTGGACGTCATGATTCTCCTCTGTCCAGGGGTTTTGGACGTTTTCTGGACGTTATGAACGCTAAATGCTGCCATTCTGGACTTTTTGACCACTGGACTTCCTGAACTTTGGGCGTATCGATACGCATCCGACGGAGCAGTTCGAAAGCGGCCAATTGGGCGCACATATTTGCGTCACATTTGGCGCATGGTGGTTGAATGGAACTGTAGAATAGTGTGCTATAATAATAAGGAGCGTGTATATCGACTCATGAGTCGATATACTCAAAACCAATCGGCTCCTGTGTAAATCGGCTTCTGTGGCTCCTGTCAAAACCTCTTGTGTAAATGCACGTCGGATCCGAGCCGATTTACACACAACTGCACTACTGTGTAAATCGAGTCAGATTTATGATGTCAAGTTTGCGCATGCGCACTCGACTGCGTTTGCGACCGCGTCCGCGCGAACGCGTGGTTTTGAATGCGGGGCGTGCCGAGGGGTGGGTGTGGGCGTGTGCGGTGGGCCAGCAATGTGCGTGCATGAAGGTATGTGCATACAGAATCGAGCCACGGATCAAGTGAGGTAATTTCCTTAAATAGGAACGCGTAGCCAGAGACAAGGTGTAGGTCAAAATCATGGTGCTTTCAACCAGGGACGACGCAGCAGTGGCACAGGGGCTGTCCCCGCCCCCTTTGCCGGCAGGCAGGTGGATGACAGCAGTTCCAAATCAGGATTCCCTTAAACTTTGAGGACTCCTTTTGTGAAGTGAAAGTATGCTGTTTTTTGGTGACAAAGCCCTTTCATGTGGCAGGAGGCCACGTTGTATGCTACCATTGCTTTTTGTTGCAAAATTAGAGGGTCCAGTGTTTTTAATTGTCAACATCTATTTACCTGGATATAATGGTTATAACAAGTTGGTAAAGGAGCATATGCCTGCAATTTTTCTTTCCCTTTCAACTTTCAAGACATCATTTCCCAGGAGGCCCCCTGTGAGGCAACCCCATTTTGCTTAGGAGGCCCCTTGAAAATCCATCCTCCAAACTGAAAATCCATGGTGCCACCCCGTCAAAGGTGTTCAAATCAAAATCTGTGGATTTTGTTTAAATGCTGGAAAGAATTTTACAACAGGTGGCATTGATTCAAGAAAAGATTTGACAAATACTTATATACTCCTAGCAGAATTGCTTGAAAGCTGTAAAGTAACAGCTGGGAATGATAAGTGTTTTTCAAACTCTAGCATTGACAAGCAGATATCTTGTGAGCAAGGTACATGATTGTAACAAAACACGAGTGACCAAAAACAGCTATTTATCCATTTTACAAACTTTAGGCAAATGGCAGCTGTGTTTGAAAATCAAATTTGGATCTGGTGAGGTAAGAAAAGATGTGACTGGAGATGTTAGCCTTATCAACATGTATTTCATAACCCACTTAGACTAGAATGCAAACAATAAACATGATCGGTTGTTGCAATGTTCACATACTCTTTGCATGTGTGTGAACTTATTTAAAAGTAGAGTATATATATATATATATATATGTATATATGTATATGTATATATATATATATATATATATATATATATATATATATATATATATTTATATATAAGAAAATATGCTAGCAAACATGCCGGGTTTATCAGTTTGTTTTCATAACCTATCAAGGTTGCAAATTGGATTGACTCCCTCCAATGCCCTTGTTTGTCTAATATTATTACTTAATGGCTTGATCAGCCTCTGCAGTGGTAAAAAAACTGTTGATGTGCTGAGTGATACCTGCATTACATATCAGTTGTTGAGCCAAACTAGGCTTTAAACATTGTACATGGTGTACAGCCTTGATAACTTTTGCATATAACACTGATGGTCTGGCCCTGATCTCTGCCCCTGATAGTCTAATGTAGTACTCCTGCCATCTGGCACCCTGGCCCCTGGTGTTCTAGATCAGAAGGCTCAATGTTGTGTTATGGTGAGCCCGTCACTGGCTTGAGAGGCTGTGTTACAAGCTAGGAAGCCCTATACTGGGTTAGGAGGCACTCTCTATTCAAGAGACCCATTTGATGCATCAGATGGCAGCAGTTCCAGGTCAGGGGTCCCTGACCCGATATTACTGCCCTTGAGAGTCTGGTGAGGTATTCCTACCTCCTTGTACTGTGGCCCCTGGTGGCCAGACCTGGTACTCCTGGACCTGCCCCTGATGGTCTCACCTGGTACCCCTGTGCTTAGTGGTCTGGCCTGGTATTCCTGCCACCCGATAGGGTACCCGATCGCTGATGGTCTGACCTGGCTCAGCTGCTGCCAGCTGGTCTGACCTGGTACCTGTGCCCCCTGCCTGTTTGGCATGGTGCCTTATGCCTGGTGATCTGACCTGGTGCTCCTGATGATCAGACCATCATCATCATCATCACTGTATGGGGTCACCAGATCAGACTACTAGGGTCATAATTACCAGGTCAGGCCACCAGGGGGTGGGTACCAGATCTGATGTCAAACCCCTGATGGTTGACCTGGTACCCCTAATGATCTGACCTGTTACCCCTGATGATCTGACCTGGTACCCCCAATGATCTGACCTGTTACCCCTGATGATCTGACCTGGTACCCCTCATGATCTGACCTGGTACCCCTCATGATCTGACCTGGTACCCCTCATGATCTGACCTGGTACCCCTCATGATCTGACCTGGTACCCCTCATGATCTGACCTGGTACCCCTCATGATCTGACCTGGTACCCCCCACTGATCTGACCTGGTACCCCTCATGATCTGACCTGGCACCCCTCATGATATGACCTGGTGCCCCTCATGACCTGACCTGGTACCTTGACGATCTGACCGTCGGGCGTGCTCCTTTTGCAGGTCCATCTACCAGTGGTGCTCCTCAGTTGACCCGGCGAGATGTAGGCGCTCCTCTGCACCATCTTATGATGCATCCGCGAGTAACGAAAAACCGCGGCCGTCCCAAAGGTAGCGTCAGCACAGTCGTGGAATCAGCAAAGAAATGAGGTAAGTTTGCTTGTTGTGAATTGATACGACATTCCATTGACAATTGTTAGTAAAACCACATTTCGAACAGTAGTGAGTCGGCAAATATGACAGGCTCATATGCGGTGCGTTTGAGGTCATGACCAACGTTTATCGATCAATAACACATGGGGCGGCATAAAACTAGTTCATAATGTTTCTGCTCAGTTCGTGCCATGTCTTGATGTATGTTTTTATTAACTTGTCCTTTTTTTCTCTAGAGGACTGAACAGCAGCGGTGGATGGTAGGAGCGCTGGATTACACCATCCACGTACTCGGCTTTAAACCCGTCATCATCATGCACCGCGTGATCACGGCGTTCCATGAATTGGACATAACTGCGTTCATCGGAAATGCCTTGACTTTTCCCGGATACCTGTAGAGCTCTTAGGCTTATTCTATTGTAGAGAACATGCTCGATGTCTATATTCGTCTGCATGTCATGACGTGAATAGCTAGTTTGCCAAGACACACCTTCATGCACATATATGAGTATTGCGAGCCCATCCAGAGACTGAAGGACTGAAAGCGTTTCCGACTAATTGTGCTGATTGGTTCCAAACTGGATAAGCGTTGTAAAAAAGCACCGCTCGCCAAGCAATGGTTGCTTACGTCCAACCTGTTGCGTCCCTGGATGTGCTTGCATAATCTCCTAACTAGTCGAGAAGGACGTTGAGTGAGCTTAGATCTGTCGTGTACCTGAACTAAGTGGCCTCGTCAAATGTCTGATGCGTTCATAGTCGACAGTTCTACATATGCGAGAACTGACCGGGTAATTATATATTTGCCCCATGTGAAGAACACGTATACAATTGTATGTACAATTTTGGTTTGTGCTAGTTTAACCAGTGACCCCCAAGGAGAATGTGCTTTTAAAAATACCAACTTGAGAGCATTGCTTTGGCTACTTAATCAATATGCCGTGCCGCTGTTATATAATCGCTTAATGCGTTCAACACTTTTCAGCCATGGTTGTAATTGATTATGTTTTTTGACACTGGTTGTGCTCGCACGCTTTTAATCTAGTCAAGAAGAATGTTGATGATTGTGCCTAGTGATAGAATTTCATGCATCTCAGCACTCAGGGTGTGCCTTTACTAGTGTACGGGATTTATTGGCGTGTGAGAAAGTCTTCCTGACATAGCGAGGCATGTCTGGCCGCTCCAGTGCGGTAAAAGACCTGCGCTATTGTGACATGATTGCTACTTCTCATGGCATGCGTCTGTGATAAGCTCGTACAGCTGCCTGCCCACAACTGTATGTCGTGTACCTTCCAAGGCTGTGGTTATCCCGGAGAGGTCATTGACCTCAATACTTTAATACATTTAAAGCTGACCAACTGTGCTGCAGTTGACAGACTATTGCGTGTTGTGAAAATCCCACGTATCCACAAATACGTCTGATGAAGCCCAACAAATGTCTTGTGAGTTTCATCGGTATGCGTAAGACCACTGGCAGCTCCAGTGACACCTCTCATTGCGAATGCTTGGCTGGGTCATGTTCACGCTCATTTTAATCACAAATTATTTCGACAGCTGGGTTGTTTGACTCGGTACAATTACAACAGTAGTATGGGTGCAATATTAAAACAACGGCGCGACTAGATTCACACGTTATCAATCGTCCCTTCGTTCTAACAACTTGGCCAACAATTAATTATGCGTCAAAATCTAAGCCGTCAGAAGTTGCCACGAAGCGGCAAACACGCAATGATTACACAACAGGGCAGTCTACATCGCCCAGACTGACGCAAAGCACATTTTGGGGTAAGAGGTGGTGGTGGTCGGCGGCAGCGGGATGAGGTCGCGTAAATGCGAAAAGACCTGCGTGCTGTCGATAGGTGAGGGCTGACAGACCCAGGGCGCCCATCGTTGCCGCGCGGGTGACACGCTGGCGTAAAGCTGTACGTGTGGTGAACAGGGACCGAGTCTCCAAAAGAACCCACGGGTCATTAAGGGCCCTTGACACAGCTAGGCTGCCAAGTGGGATGACTAGGTCACCGCGCCAGCCCAGCGCTTGAACAGTCGCCGCCATTGGATCTTGCTGACGAGCATCGGTGACGATCCTGGCCCCACGGTTAATCACCCCTTGCACTCTATTTATGTAACGCGCTGCAGCCACACCCCAGACCGAGAGGCAGTACAGAAGATGAGAACATGGGCCTGGATGATAGATTTACGAACCTCGGATGACGAATCTGTTGATTGTGGTTTGATAATGGTGGAATTTGTTCATCGTGATTCGTCACAAACAGCCAATAGGGTAGGCTGTGGGGGATTTTATGCAAGCGGAAAAGGATGGGGCTGCACATTTCAACATAGGATGTGAGCATCTCCCAAGAAAAGGTACTTGCAATAGGACCCCCAGCACCTTCATGGGCGACGAAGGGCCTAATCGGTGTCCCGCACAGTCCAGGTGAAAAGATAAGGTTTTCTTTCAGGATTGTGGAGTGCCGGGAAGAAGAGCTCTTTTGGTCGGCTTCGTTTTAAGAGTTAGATGTGAAGTAGGAATTAACCACTTGAATGGTTTCCTCCCGTCGGGATTTCAAAACGGATGGTTGGTCTGGATGTGTAGAGTCTAGCAGTTGGGTGTGGTCGGCACAGGATACTAGACATTCGTGAAGGGGGTAAGGTAGAGATTCATTCGTAAAAATACTGAAGAGGATAGGGTCAACCAATGATCACTGAGGGACACAGTAAATCGGCAGAAGAGAAAGATTCAACTTCTCGCCATGTACATTCGACCAGCAAGGTAACTCCCAAACCAATTCGGATAAATCCGATATCACTGCAGCTTTATCAGAACTACGCCATGGTCGATACAATTAAAGGCACGGCCGAAGTTTACGAACGTGACGGCCCCGAACGTGCTTAACCCCAATCCGAGTACACCTCACTCAACGGCATCGTCCAGGGAGTTTTCGGTTGAGTGACAAGATCTGCACGCGTAATGTAATGTAGCTAAAAGATCATGGGTACCGCAGGTTGGACGACAGCTGCATGCACTCAATTTTTTCGTGTGTCTTTGACAAAACAGGCAAAGCTGATGTGCGTACGAAAAGGCTAGCGATTTCACGGAAGACATTTGTGAACAGCCGAAGGCAGAAAATAGAAGAGCGAAGAGAATATTTTTCGCATTTCATTATTGGCGGTACCCTCATTAGGTACCGCCAATGTCTGTTTTTTTACCGTGAGGTTCTTTCGGCGCAGACGTCTGCAAGTGTCCTAAACCTAAAAAGCGTTTCCCATAGCGTTACGCAAAAGTGAAGTTCTTGGTTTTAAGTGAGCCCCAAGTTGAGCGACTTCAAATGTGTAGACGAAAGAATGGCCTGGATGTCAAACACACCCATATTGACACCGTGTGTGAATCAGTTGGGTAGCTTCAGTTGGGCTACTTCACAGTACTGGGTTCAGTTAAGGTACCGAATTGTGTTCAGAATGTAGGCTGCATAGGTATGCACGTAGGTACAGCCCAAGTTTGGGTTTGCCGATTTCGGTTCCAATTTGCTTGTTTTTTTTAGTGAGGACTTAACGAAGTGCTCCTTGCATTTCTCCATTTTACCTACCGCGTTATTCAGCGTTCAACCATTGCGTTTTTCCAGCCCAGGGGAACATTACTTAAATTGAGTCTGTTTTTCCAAAGATGAATTCAAATAGTCCCATTCGAAAAGAAAATGACTGGGGTCGGGCATTTTTTACCATTGCCTTTTGAATGTTCGGTACAATTACAGATGCTACTTACAAGACCCTAGGTTCACCGGAAGTGACCTAACTTGACCTCTGAAATCGAGGATGCACCCGCCGCATAGAAACTCTGGGCGAGGATGCATTACTGCATGAGGAGATGTAATCACAGCATTGGATTAGGCTTCTAAGACTTGAAGTGCGTATCCTAAACACTGTTACATTAGTTGCATCACTAATAAATTTTGACAGAACGTTTAACATTCCCAGACGAACATGGGTTCGCCGAGGTTAAAAAAATTGCTGACCCCATTTCCATCTACACTCAACGTGCACGGGGTCATAAATATCTCTGCAGAGCTCAGAACAAAAACTTGGCAAGGCTCTGAGGTCCATCCCTTTGGATAGAACCAGCTTAACAATTTAAACGGAATAACACCGATGCGTTATTTTGTATGTCATCTTACACAACCTCTTTCTGTTAATTAGTGCCTGCAATACAAAACAAACAGCAACTTGCTTTCCAGTACCTTTCGTGGCTTCTTGCCCCAGTGAAGAAAGTTAGATATACATAAAACTCTCACAAAATCATGCCGATGGAAATCCGTCGGCCAAAGCTGACGAATTTGTGTGTATGAAAGGGGGGGGGGGCGTTTCACCATCAAGGGGCCCCTTTGGAAGCCCTCCGCACCCCTCACCCGTTACCAAGACTGGATAAAAGCCGCACACTGCAAACCACCGTGTGACAAGCATGCGGTGCTGCATGGCGTGCCTTGTAAGCAATATGACAAGTTCAGCATCTACCTTTCCTGGTGCATACACATGTACACACACAAACGCACGCATTCTATATATATATATATATATATATATATATATATATATATATATATATATTTGTCTCTCTGGACGGTATATTCTCAATAAAGTACGAAAATGTGTAGCTTCAGTGATGAAAAATGAGCTATGCACGGGCAAATGCATATTTTCAGCTTTTGTGCGTTTGTTTGATTGTTGAAATCACACCTTTCCCTTATTCGGTAACTCATAGATCGGTTCGCCAGTTCGCTGCGTTGAATACGCTCCGTTTCCTGCGCAAATCACATCACGATGTAATTCACAGGTGTGTGTATCCATCATGAGTGCATCTACACAGAACACCTTCTCTGCTCAAATCCACTCGCGAGTGGATGATGATGATGATGATGATGATTTGTGCTTTGGGGCGCACCGACTACGTTGGTCGTATGGCGTCCAACTCGCGAGTGGAATTACACAGAATGGCGCTTCTGTGTATATTACGTCATAAGTGGATCTACACAGAACACCTCTGCTTAAATCCACTCGCAAGTGGAATTACACAGAATGGCGCTTCTGTGTATATCACGTCATGAGTGGATGTACACAGAACACCTTCTCTGCTTAAATCCACTCCGGAGTGTATATACACAGAACGGCGCTCCCGTGTAAATCCACTCAGATCTGAGTCGATTTACTCCTGAAGCCACACTTGTGTAGATCTACTTACAAGTGGATTTACACAACAGTGCGTTTATGTGTAGATCAACTCGGATCTGAGTCGATTTACACAGGAGTGGCGTTCTGTGTAAATCCACTTCGTAGTGGATTTAAGCAGAGGAACTGTTCTGTGTAGATGCACTCGTGAGTCGATTTACACGCGTCATAATAAAAGGGCTGATGAAGGAATTGTGTGGCCTGGGCACCGTCAGTGAATAAAAAAGGAAAGAGCGTGCAACAGCGGGAAAAAGCCTGCGTGCAGTGCGGAGATTGGACAAACTGTCGGTCATACATTGTGAAATTCCTGCTAAAACTGGTCTGTGAAGGTTTGGATCAGGCGGGTTTAGGTAGTTCCGTCTTACTTCACGAGCCCTTTTCGCTAGAGGACCACATGCTCTGCGCCTTATCGTGGGTCGTAAGTTAATTGGTCATTGCACATGCCTGTTCAAGTCGTCTCGGAATTTGAAAGTCATGAGACGCCAATTGTTTACGCAAAGACACAAATACTTTCATAAGCCTCTTTTCAGTCACCAAGAGCAGCGGTGTAGCCAAGGAGAGGGGGCTGGTGGGACCTTATCCCTCCCCCCCCCCCGTAAGTTTTGAGCGCATTTTTTCACCATTACACTTCTAAATATAATTCTGATTTGTTATGGGCAAAACTGTATTGGTTTAAAACTACATACACGCTACCATGGGAAGAGACTTACATAGCCCAACAGCCGGTAATTAACGCGCGTTCGGGTGATTGGCTTGATACCATTCGCTTCCGTAGAGGGAGTGGTGATTTGACCCCCTGAGATCTCGGGAAATAAGAAGCCTAGAGACCAAACTCACAGGGTATGTTAGTCTGTACGTGAACTCAGGTCAAAATTTGAGGTGTTTAGGTCATGCCTTCGGATAAAATAAGGTCAAACAAGGTCAAACCCCAGGTTGGTCTTCAAAGTCTCCCAGACCAAGACACCTGGTGAGCTCACTTGCTCATTTATGTTCAGTGACCTTGTTTGACCTTTTGGTGATCATCGTGACCAAAGGCATGCAAGACTGCTTTGAGTTTTGCAGTTGAACAAGCGACAAAGATTACGCTAGGCAGTCTAAAAACAAAGTGCTGACCTGGGTCATTTCAGGCCAGTGACCTATTCTGGCGTTTAGAAGTTCATGGAGAATATGCGGTTCCTGTCATTAACAAATGCGAAATGAGCACCAGAAACTACCCCCATACAACGAGTCCTGGAGTTACAAAACAGGTTGGTTCTGATCTCGGTCTCACCTTCATGCCTGACCCTAGGTCAATGGAATATGTTCATTTCATCGTTGTGTTCCTTAACACAGTATCTCAGAGATGTATGACTTCGTTTAACACTCCGTTGTCGCATCAGATTTGACGATTCTCAAGAAATTGGCTTCGCTGAATCCATGGTTTGACTTTGACCTGCCCTAGGTCAGCAACTTTACACGATATACCCAAATTTGTATATTGAACCATCTGCTATTCAAGTTTTTGCCATTATGCAAAATTTGGCGCGGCGTAGCCCCGTCATTCGGACACCATTCCGGAACAACGTTCGGGGGGAGGTCAATTTAACCCCCCACCCGAGCGCGTGTTAAGCAGGAAGGCTAGCGGGTAGCCGAGTAAATATTACGGCACGCAACAGAATCAACTGCTGTATGCAAAGCCATCACTGATTGCTCACTGGCCCTCTAGGTATTGTAGGCCTGCTTAGGCAGGCTCCCAGCCATTGCTGCACTGAATGTCATGTTTATGTGTGCTGAACTCAGTTTTGGTCAAAATGCACCTAATTTCCGAACAACTTTGTGTAAGAAAGGTCTTAAAGCATGGGTGTGTGAAACGACCTTTGCAACATCTAATATCCCTACACAAATATTGTCATTTTTATGAATAGTGGGCCCTCCCATTAACACAGCGGACTTCTCGCACCAGAAAAGGGCCTCCCTATCCCAGAACAGGGTCTCCTCAGTCCTGATCGCATATAGGTACCTCCTGATCCAGAACAGGGGCATGTCGATTCACGAAACTGCGGTCTCCAATCCCAGCAAACGGCCTCGTGATGTCAAAACAGAGCATCCTGATCCGGAACTACGGCTATCTGATGCATGAAAGGAGTCCCTTTTCTAGAAGATGGGCCTTCCGATACAAACATGCCTGTGAGGGGTGGAGGCTTACAGGCATCATCCAGCCCACCCGGCATGTGGGCGAGCCACAGCTCCCCCTCCCCAATTGTTGCAGAAGTGGATCTTTTTCTGAGAGAAGCCGGTTTGCTGTCATATTTTGAGGGCGAGTTTCGTAATTTTTAGCAATCAGTCCCCCTCAAAATTACTCTCCGACATAGGCGTAGGAACGTTTTAAAAAGTGAGGGGCTAAGCTCAGGACGCACTTGTTCAGGAACTTATTCTGGAAAGCAAGCCTGATGACCGGGGGGGGGGGGGGGGAGGAGGGGATAGAGATGGAGGTTGTTATCGCTCTTTGTTCAAATGTCATGGCTGCTATGCTAGATATGCCTTTAGGGCTGTTCTCACTGTGCATAATCTTGCCTTTTCGACTCATCTATGTCATGCGGTAAATAAGGTTATTCAGCGTCCTAAGGTTATTCATCCATTTTGACATTGTCCTTCCTGGGGAGGCGAAATTTCACAAGCGGGTAGGCATTTTGGGTCATTGGGGAGCCAACTGCCTCTACAAGACAGATGCCAAAACACGGCCTGGATATAGGCTGGTGAGAATTTTGAAAGTGAATCGATGTCTCACAGTACGACAGATTTTTCATGCGCCTTCATTTTGCTAGCTGCTTTCCAACAGACTTGCTCAGAGTTGTCGCAGCATTTCAGGCGAAAACAAAATCGGAAGCTTGAAACTGCCATGTAAAATGAGTCAAAAGTAAACAAAAAAAGGTCAAACAAAGTCACTGACCTTAAATAAGCACGTGACCTTCTGCTTAGAAACGGTTATCTAAGTTCCGGGGGCACTTTATAAGAGGCCAACCTGAAACCTGACCTTGTTTGACCCGAAGGTCATGACCTAGGAACCTGAAACTTTGACCTAAGTGAGATCACTTAAGGGTCAACACACCCTGTAAATTTGGTACCTTTAGCTTTCTTAGTCCCCGAGATCTCAGGAAAGGGTCAAATTGAACCCCCCTTCCCCCCCGCACCCGAGTGAAGGGTATCTAGCGGGCCACCCGGGCGCGTGTCAAAGCATTACGAGGCAGTGCTGGAATCCGGTGGCGGAACTGGAAGAGTAAAGAAAAAGCATCTATCTTTCGTGTCTCCGTGACTAATTATCCGTCCAGAAGACAGGTTAACACGGCGTCCGCCATATTGTGCATTCGCAGTGGCCAGAAGCTGCAACCTGGGTCATCGCTGTCAATGCTCTCGAGGCGGCGGACGGGCATGTTCGAGCCTTTGATGTATTTACTACCTCAGTTTGAAAAAAAATGAACGACCTCAGGTAAACGTAGGATGGTGTCGTTTTGTAGCTCACTTCGACCCACTTCATTCAACAATAATGAGACCCCTTATTGGACCGATCGACTATGCAATATGGTTTGAACATGTTCGCTCGCAAGTCGTAGCAACAACAGCCTCGACGCCCGGAATTGCAGTCTCCCTCGGCCGCGCAGCGTTTGCCCACCGGCAGGTCTGCCTTCGTGATGAAAGGCGGCGGCCGATCAGCGGACGAAAAAGATAAGGCATCTTGAGGAAAATGGCTGATGGGCTACGTAAATTGGCATTTATTTTTAATGTAGTGCAAAATCAGACTGAGCACAACCTCAATTCGAAAATTGGGCGCCAGTTCACATATCCGCACCCTCTCCATTCACCAAACGCTCCCCACACCCACGCCCCCGACGCCACTCCTGTGCCGGCACACTACAATCTAGCATCTTCAAGCGATGGCGTGGTATAAATACGGTTAGGGACCAGTAAGTTGGACATTTTCCAAACTAGGAAAATTTGAAAGTTTAAACAGATGTTATGTCATTCCTTGATAGGAACTAGTTTTTTGAGAAAAACAGAATATGGCTTATCAAAACATTTTAAAATTTGACAGTGGGTAAATACCATAAATCCGTTTCCGCTCAGTGCTGCCATCTGCAAGGCGTGAGTCGTTGGCGGCCATGCCTATCCACGACAGTGAATAGGTGAGAGGGTGGGGGCGCACCTCACATGCGTGATTTTGATATTAAGATTCTGATTTCTCCCTTACAATTATTTATGCTTGGCTGCGGCATATCCGCTGAGCAACAAAAGTACTTACTTGTGCCGTGGGGTAAGTAAGAGTGACGTATCGCTGTCCCCGGGCTAACAGCTGTCTGGTGATGACTCACGGTGCCCTCATGCGACGCTAAGATGGCCGAGCCATATTCGCATGTGTTGAAGTTCGGCATGTTTGTATGAACCATCGCGTGAATGTTTGCGGGTGGCAAAAAATCGGTGTTCGCGAGTGATTGTTCCCGGTGACTGACCACCGCGGTTTTATTATAGCATTGGTTCAGACGTTGGGGAAGCGTGCTGGCTATTTTTTCCGGCGCTCTGCGTTGAAGCTTAGATGATTGTTTGCTGGATGGTTGTTATTTTTCATGCTTAAGCATCCATAGACTTAAATATTTTCTTGATAGGCCAGGGTGTATATATTTTTTCTATCACACTGATGTATTTCTGGTGGTTTTCACCTTCAAGACATGTTTGCCAATTATAGTTCAGGGTTTTATATACATTTGTTTTGAAGCATTGCATGTTGAGAACATTGAAAATGTTGAAGGACTGGAAAAAGAAAGCAACAACAGAAGCCTTAAAATAAAAAACCTGCAGCCTACCACTTACACTTACCAAGAGCAGGCATGTTCATGGTGAATTGGTTCCCAGATGCCAAGACTTTCAGTGCGACATATTTTTAATTCTAGTCAGTGCCGTACTGGATGGACTATCCAAAATGTTTGACTGGACACACTGCTGGTCCAAAATTTGAAGACTTATGTTATCTGCTCTGACCATGGCAGTTGTGCTGAGAGATGTTGATGTATCAATTGGTATGACTTTTCAAAATCAGTTTGGGGTCTCAGCCAAAAAGATTGATCTAATTTGTCTTGAAATATGATTTCTTCCTGGTTTTGGAGCACTTGAGTTGCCCTTAATTTAGAAGTGAAGAAATGGAATATTTTATATATCTGAAGTTATTTGTCTGTGCAGGAATGACTACAATTCAAATTGATATGAGCTGCCTTTTTGTGAGAAACTTAAAATGGTGTGCAAGTTGGAGAACAGTATCTTGGTTAATCTGCACAGGGGGGCCACTGGTGAGTGCACCTGTCAATGGTCATAAGTGAGACAGGTCAGGGTGTACTTCCCTACCTAACATTAGAAAAATTAGTTGTACACCATTTGTTGTGTTTAAGGCAGGACATATTGTAAATAATCACAAAACAGGTAGATTCATGCTCTTACCTTCAAATTTTTCATAATTACGATGGCGAGCTCCTGCGCACTGCACACACACAGCAGCTGTGACACTGGCGCCATAACTGCGCATGGTCTCAACATTACTGTGCATCAAGCAGCATCAAGAACCATAAAAATGCACAGGGCCAAGGTAACAAGAATCCATGAAATTTGATCCTCGACGCCAATGGGACGATGGGTTGCAGGGGCTTTGGTGGGAATGTAAAGCAAAATGAGAACATAGCGGCTAAATAAAAGCTCATTATACAGCACCTACATATGGCATGGAACATGGATGCCAATGGGATGCTGGGTTGAAGGGGATATAGAGTGGGGAGGTTAGGTTAGGTTTGGTTCAGTTCAGTTCAGTTCTGTGGGTTGGGTTGGGTTGGGTTGGGTTGGGTTGGGTTGGGTTGGGTTGGGTTGGGTTGGGTTGGGTTGGGTTGGGTTGGGTTGGGTTGGGTTGGGTTGGGTTGGGTTGGGTTGGGTTGGGTTGGGTTAGGTTAGGTTAGGTTAGCTTGGCTTAGGTTCTGGTCTATTCTTGGTTAGGTTAGGTTAGGTTGGGTTAGGCTAGGCTAGGCTAGGCTAGGCTAGGCTAGGCTAGGCTAGGCTAGGCTAGGCTAGGCTAGGCTAGGCTAGGCTAGGCTAGGCTAGGCTAGGCTAGGTTAGGTTAGGTTAGGTAGGTTAGGTTAGGTTAGGTTAGGTTAGGTTAGGTTGCATTGGGTTAGGTTAGGTTAAGTTGGGTTGGGCTAGTTTAGGATATGTTTTGGACTATTCCAGCCTGTGTGTTTCATAAACATATCTAAATGCGATAAGAAACAATTTTCATTGCATTATTATTGTTACCTTGGTCCTGTACATTTTTTATAGTTCTTGATACGCAGAAATGTTGTAATCACGCAACAACGCGTAAACGACGCTGGGGAGTCAAGGTGGTGCTGTGCGTGCATCGCTTGGGAGCTCACTATCGTATTTATTAAAATTTGTAGGTAGGAGCATGATTCTACCTGTTTTGAGATTATTTATGATATGTTCCACCTTAAACACCACAAATGGTGTACAATGATTTTTTCTACTGTTAGGTAGCAAAGTACACCAACACTGTGCCACAGCCATACATATGCTATAAAAAGATTTGCCACTATTGGGAAAAGTATGATTGAACCCTATGGCTGGGCCACACTGTACTCTTAAAAGCTGCTGCATATTGCAGTCATTTGTTATCCCAATCCAGGTATCGTCATTTGCAAACACATGAGACATTTGCAGACTGGTCCAACATATGAATGAGGTAACATGATTAAGGCATTAGGTACCTACAGGAGACCATTTGGTGCAAAATCGACATGATGCTGTGTTCAGGTACCCACTCCCTAATACACTGATAAGAGGATAATTGCCTCAATTAGGCCCTGTATTCCCTCTGCTCACATGCATTAGAGGGCTCAAAGGAGCCTTGCGAGACTCAGGTCACCATTGGGGAGAGGAAGGGTCTCAGGACCCCACCCCCAATGTTAACAAAATGCTGGTCAAATCATATGTTAAAAGTATCTTAAGTGATGCCCCTGTTTGTCAGACACAAAAATAGGGGATCTTGATGTCATATGAGTATTTGTAGGGAATGATTTTTAAAAATCCATGAGTCAGGGGAAAAGGTCTTGTTGCCTGTTTGTGTATGGGAGAGAGTGTCTGGATTTCTTCTGAGCTTCCTCTTCATTGGAGGATGGACATTTGAGGGAGAGTGTGCTCAATATTAGGGACTGTGGCCCCTCAAAGGGATGAAGTTTTGTGCATGTCCAGAAGCTTAATAACATGTGCTGGTTATTTTGGGGACCATAGTATTTTGGTTTCAGACATGTAAGATTTCCCCCATATATGATGTTTGTAGTCTCCCCCCTCTCCCTGTCACATGCTTTTCACCAGATTTTTGATCAGCTGTTGTCATTTGCAAGTGTCAGCTAAAGGCTGCGGTGAACTTTTCCAGGAATGCTGCTGCAGCACTGAGTTGTTGAAATGATGGGCAATGAATGATCCAGCTGATGTAGGTCGGCGGGGTCTGCCCCTGACCTCGGCATCCCCATTGGCGTCCGCTGGTGGTCAACAGTTTGTGATCACAAGCCCACTGCAGCAGGTGACGCTGTCACAGGTATGTTGCAGGCTACATTGCCCTGAACTTTTACATCTGAGGTAAACTTTGTCATCGTGGATGATGCTGGCTTGGTTCATGAAGTTCCAAGCGCAAAACCATGCCCAATGGAAGTTTTATTCATGGTCTGTGCTCATGTCAATTTCTTTGTATGTTTTGAAGTTTAAACAACTTGTTTAGCCCTGAACTTTCCCTCAGGTTTGGCCACAGGCAGTGCCTTTCTTACCCAGGAAAACTGGTCACAGATGCTTCCATCTTACCCAGAAAAACATTGGTTTCAGATGGGTTCCATCACACCCAGAAAAAAAACTTTGGGATTCAACTGATTATTTTTAAAGGACTTGTTATGAACATTTTAAATACACATATTTTTGGGATCAGAGCTCACACTAAGCTGTGCTAGTTGTATGGGCTCTGACACCTTCCATCCAATCATGCAACTCTTGGCAATAGCAGAGTTTGGTGACAAAATTTAACATGGCACAGTGGTCAGCACAGTCCACCCAGCCCTCTCATTTTAACTGGCCTTGAATGTGGCTGCTGCCAGTCTGCAGGCATAACTGTCAAGGGCCAATAGTGGGCATTTAAAGTGACTAAAACCCACCCTGCTGTGGGTGGGTGGATCAGAAAGCAGATGCTCTTACCAACTGAGCCATCAGGACAGGCAATTTGGTTGATACAATGCATTATTTCAGATGTTGATGTCATATTTGTGATTTCATTAGTAAACATCTGTTCCTGGAATAATCAGCACCTGCATCTTCCCTGCAAAGCAGAAATCAGATTTATAGAAAAATAAGTACATCATGCAGGCTACCATGGTCCACTGCCCAGTGAATTAGGTGGCAAGGAGAATCTGGTCATAATTTGTTGGACATTGGCCAACTGTTAGGTACCTGTTCAACCTCAGGCACTGCCAGGTCTACCTGGCAGGACAGAATATCTAATACCTAGCAAAACACCAGCCAGGCTATCTTGTTACTGGCCTGGCGTGGTGTGTTTCAGTCACCTGCCGGTGGTTTATTGCACCGGGTGTCATCAGCCAGTGCTGGACGCCTAGTCTCCCGTTCGCCATCTGTTCTGGGTCGACCTGCTGCAGTCAGTGGTGCTGCATCACCGCTGTACAACACTCCCAGCAAAGTGCTTGCACGAAGTCCCCAGCAGCCTCGCAAAAAGATCAAGTTGGAGGAGCGCCTTTCCAGTAGTGACGAAGTAACCCTAAAGCGGCAGAATGTGCTTGATTACAAACTGGACAAGTTGGCGAGCCTCCGTGAGCTGCACGAGGAGCTCACTTCCGAGCTATATTATCTGGAGGATGGTGGCAACATAATGGAGTATCCAGCATGGCAGAAGCGGCCACCACTGCAATACCTCAATTACAAGAAGCGCATGCTTCTGGACTCAGATGATGAGGATGGACCAGAGGTGAAAGTTCCAGTGACTGGTGGCACTCCAGTAGCTGTGTCCACCACACTCCCAAGCCCGATCTCCAAACTGGCTCATTTGAAAGGTAAGTTGTGGCTTGCAACATGGGCTTGGTGTGCTGTTTGTGGCTTTGTTATTTTTAAGGGTGCAAAAGCTGTGGTGGCAGCATTGAAAGGCTTGCCATGTGGACTTCATATGGCAAAGATGGCTGTGGAACAAAGCAGACAGATTCTGTGTCCCAGGATGTGTTTTAAGATGACTGGGGCACTTAAACTTTTGTAGGCCATTTGAAGTCATGTGTTCTCTTGAAGGTATCAGATTTGGGCACATGAGATAAGGAAACCAAGGATTTATATTGTGTGCTGAAGAGTGCTAGATGATGCAACTTAAACTAAACAGTCGTGCAATCTGATTTGCTGAATGGTTAGCTATATGTATGGTCAACATCTTCCCTGTTTGGTTCATTAGAATGGTGACAGTCAGAATGAGGCATTAATGAATAGGGTGGAATACTACTTTAGGGAAGATAATGTAATGATTGTATTGATGATTAGGGTCCCAGCTAGGATCCTATCTTTGTTAGGATACAAATTCCAAGCCTGCTTCTCCAATGTGTGACAGGTTTAGTGTGCATGTCTGTTGTGTGTGTCAGTTGCATGAGCGAAGCGGGCTATGACAGAAGCTCACACAACCTTATAGAATCTTAAAAATTGTAAGCTTTGTTCCAGAAAGTAAATTGTTATGTTTACAGCAGGTGCCTTCCATGCTCAACTTTTGGGTGACTCCGTGACACTGTAGATATCTGTGAAAATTGTGTATATGAAATATTCCCTTCATCACACATGATCTCACACCTTCATCATAATGAAAAAAATGGATGGGGGAAATGGGGCAAAATTTGCTGTTTCCATGGCAACTCCAAAGGGAGACCCAAAGGGATTACCTTGTATATCTAAATGGGAGGTCATATGTCAACTTACAGCCACCTAACCTCACTTGATAATTAACAAGAAGGTGGTCCTAGGATCAAGAGAGATGAAAGGCCCTTTTTGTTCAGCTACATGCCAATATTTTTCAGCTGCTAACTCATCTGTATGGTTTCAAGTGTAAAGTCAGTTACTGGATCCATTATTATGAAAATGGTGATGGGGAAGGTACTTGCATGTTCAGTGGGTGCTGACAAGAAAAGGATGGTTTCTTGTTATCAGATCACCACAAGTTCATGAGGCTTATCATCATTATTAATATCATTATTTACTATGCTAATTAATTAATATTATCATCATCAAGCTTACAGACTGTGTAATTACAATATGTAAAAACAACAGGAAAGTTGCAAATGTCAATATCACCTTAACTTTAATCAAAGCCATCTGTGCATTCCAGTGGTTCATTGTAGTGCCTTGTGCAAGTTCATGATCTTATAAGCTCAGCAAACCCTATGTCATGCTGTCCTTTTGAAGGTGTGCAATGGAGTCAGTCCCATATTTGGTGGCAGATCACAGTCATTTTGAGATACAATATGATTGAAACTATGTGAATCGTAACCCATTTTCACTAACTGTTTAACACTGACAACCTCTGCACCTCCCACTGCTTCACTGCTTGCCAAATGACAATGTGCTTTTGGGACTGACAGTGTGCAAAGTGCTTGACATTTCCCTCTTGTAGGGAAGAAGCTTGGAAGACAGCATGGAATTGTGTTTGGAAGTTGCCAGTTATCTGCTGTTAAAGACAAGCTGAATCCCATGCTCTTGGGTTCAGGTATGCTTGTGATCCATGCATGACAGCATGGACTGTCATGTGTTATGAAATGAGTATTCAACAATAAATGAGTATGCACTGGTGCAAATAGTGCATGCATTAATCATTTTGTGTTATGTGAGTAACCATTGAAATATTCTGAGCTTCAGTGCTATTTTAAGCATTAAAATATGTGTAGCAATATGTGTGTAAGGCTTAATGCATCTGGGTGTGTCAGCATATATTTTTAGGGCATATCTGTTGTCAATGAATCTCAGATGAACCACAATTGTCCATTGTGCCCTCCTGGTGTTTGTTCATGTGGGGGGGAGGGGGGATGGGGGCTATTAGAGCCCACCTCCGCATGTTGATTGTGAGCCAGTGGATGTTGGCACTGAGGGTGTCAGTGCATGGCTCGTGCCAGATGTCTCGAGGGGGTGGTGTCTCGTTTGACCGAACGTCGTTTGACAGGCTCGGTGGCACCGCGCGGTCCCGGCCGGCCGCCAGGCTCGGGCTCCTCGTCACATTCCCTGTCGGATCCACCCAGCACTGAGCACATGGTGGAGAAGGCAAAACAGGTATGGGTGGGCAGCACTCACTGGCCACCATTGTAAGGCAGGCACAACAGATAATGGGGAATATGGTGGGGCCTGCCACCTTAGTCCAGTGTGCCTCAGTGAGTGTGCCTCTGTGGGTCTCAAAGGAGCCCCTCAGGTTTAAGCAGCTGTTGTTTGTGACTTCTGAGCTGTTAAGATGCATTGTAGCCCCCTCAGAAGCAAAGCTGTGGTGTTCAGAAACACCAGTTTTCATGATCTCACTTCTAGCATGGAAAAGTTGTGGCTTCCAAATTGTTGTTCTTGCACACTACAAACATATGCATAAGCAATATGAACAGGCACAAGCACATGCCTATCATACACATAAACAAGATAATTGTTGTCTTCAGAGGACAGGGGAGGAGCATGTTCCTTAAGCCATGGAATTAAGGTGTCTGGTTAGAAAGTGAGGGAGTGGTAGATTATCTTTTCCCAGGCATGGCATATAGCCTGTAGTTATAAAGCTATACTGCTAGGTATAAGCATATAACCACTAGCATATAATTGTACCTACAGATGATGCCTCATGTAATTGTTTTTATTTATATTTGAGTGATAGGAGAGGGCTATGGAAATAGATGGCCTGTAAAATTGACAATGAAAACAAATGATTCACTTTTTTGAGCCATGTTGTGTCTGAAATGTGTGGTAGGACAGTGTCTCAAACTTAGGTGTTTCTTGGTGTCCCAAGACATTATGTTTTCCACAAATATACACTGGAAAGAATGTAAAAAAATTGTGCTCTGTGAGCGACGTCAGATGGAGGCAAGCTGTTCCTCCAACTTCGTCGGCATCACGCGCGACACTCACAACTGAATGAGCGATACTGCTAGCGTGTTGTAGCCGAATGTCTTAACCATATCACACATAATCTTTCCCTACAATGTGTTCAGTGCCCAGGTCTGTTGCTGCTCACCCACATGCTGTTCAATGACACCGATGCGCTCATACACCGGGCCCGAGCACGCACCCAAAACAACAACGTCTCTTGACGGACCAGGGAGAAGCGCGGACAATATCTCGTACACCGCATGATGCAGCGTGTCTGGATTGCACGTAGAAATCATTGTAACACAGGAGAAACTGATACGAAATAATTTCATGTCACGGTTACATGTACCTGTAAATATGGAGTGAATTAGTTATATATTGATGAATGAATAGTTTTTCATTCTTTTTAAATAGAATTTCTATTGAAGTTGCATTTGAAACTATCAAAAATGGGTATTGTACAAAATGTATAATGATGATGTCAAACACCATCCCACTCATTTGGGCATGCGGAAAACAACGGCTCCGCGAATCTCCGACTCTTGGGTAGGATTTAGCATTGGAGAGGAGGCATATTCTCCACCAATAAATCCAAGCTGAATACGTGATGAAAATGCAAAAATGGCCATTAAACGAAAGCATGGAATTTTTCCTATTGATCTACAGAGCGTCGCCACAATCATGACCGAAGTATTAAGTTAAAGCGTTGTTCCTTGCTCTCCGCCGAGCATAACTTTAGCTGGTGTATTTATACAATTATTGACGTTTTGAGATCTGACTTTTATTTGAGCCAGGTTTTGCCAATCAAATTTTTTTTTTCAAAATCAAGAAGTTACTAAAAAGCAATATTGGAACCAATTAATAACCGACAGCGGCTCTGTCGTTGAATACTGCTGTTGCGTGCGGGCCATTTATGTAGCCTACCAACCTTGTTTTGGAGGAGCCGCACGAGGAGCTGATAGCGCGACTGGCTGGCAGTGTGAATGAGGACAATATATCGATTTAGCTCAGTATCATACGCTGAGAAAAGTATTGTATCAGACTCAACGCCGGTGAGTAGGTGTAGTGATGCTAGCTTTATGCAGCTGGATTGCTCTGTGAGGCGAAAATAATTCCTCCGCCCCTGGTGCATTGGCCTCCCGGCCCTGATCACGCAGCAGCCTGACGTCCCAGGTGGTGTAGTTTTGTACATAACTTTGTGGAGGGGTGGGCAGTGAAATCTTTTATCCCGTACAAATGGTGCAAACCATGCTGTCCCTGACTACGGCCAAGTTTTTTATCAAAGTTGGGGAGAGGCTGGCATCCTGTCCAACTATAGATGGAACTGCACATTTGTTCGCAAATTAGGCGCGCCTAAGTCAGCAAAAGCCTAGGCGGGCATCGCGTTGCCCCAGAATCTTTCCTCTGGGTGAGGAAGAGCATACATTGGCAAGAATGTAGCTGCGCCAACTACCATGCCCCAGATGCAGCCTATTTATACTGTGGCTTTTAGACATTTCGATCATAAACTTACCATCATGTGTTCCGCGGAATGGTGCAATAAGTGCACAACATTTTAAGCGTGTGCTTCTATCAGCCTTTATTGGGACTGACACTTTACAATAGGATTATTGATATAAACCACTTTCTATCAGAGTTACTTAGGAAGCTAGAAAATTTAATAATTGCAAGCAGCCAATTTCTAATGGTCTTTGCCAATCACTGAAACCAACTAGAGCATGGTGTTTACTGTCATCTGCTGCCAAAGAATGTCCTTAAGTGCCAGCTGTGAATGCGGTGTAGATTCGTTGAGGTTGTATTGGTCTCACTACAAGCTGTGATTTTAATTTTTTTGTTCTCTCCCCCAAGAGCCAAATTCAAATTTCAGATACTGTGGTAAGATGCGATGGGTGTTTTATAGCCATGTTTATTGCCGAAAGTGTTTGTTTTAGTGCTGTGTTTGTATTAGTATCATTGTCACATATTTTGTATTTGTGTCCCCATTGTATGTGTATCTTGTTAAGGCATCCTATCCCAATAGTGAGCATTTGTAGCAGTTGCCTCCCATGCTTAGTTGATGTTGCTGGTGTCATTGCAAGAAAGTGAGCAGTGCATTTTTTTGCAATGACACCAACATCCAGTAAGAACATTGGAGATCAGCTGCTATAAGTGCTGGCTTGCAAAACAGGTGGGAAAGTGGAATGGAAAGCCATGCATTATGGGTGCCACATAACCATGTGCCATTGATGTGCCCTTTAACTGCAAGCTCATCATAGCCACACATTGGCAGATTAAACCACAAGAACTCATTTCAGCTGACTGCTGTGATGGTCAGTTACAAGTGCTGACTTACAACTGACTGATTACCATGCAGTACCTGGTGTGTTATTGTTCATTGCAGCTGGTGCAGCCCATTGACATTGGATCACTGCTGTTCCAGGAGGCGCAGGTGATGCAGCGGATCAGCGACCTCAGGAAGCAGGGCATCTGGTCTGAGAAGCGCTTACCCAAAGTGGCCGAGCCCAAGCGGGTCAAGGCCCACTGGGACTACCTCCTGGAGGAGATGCAGTGGTTGGCGGCCGACTTCGCGCAGGAGCGCAAGTGGAAGAAGGCGGCGGCGCGCAAGTGCGCGCGCATGGTGCAGAAGTATCATCAGGACAAGGCCGCTCAGGCTGAGCGGGCTGTCAAGGACCAGGAGCGCGACCTACGCCGTGTGGCGGCGTTTGTGGCGCGCGAGGTGCGGACGTTCTGGACCAACGCTGAGAAGCTGGTTGAGTTCAAAATCACGGCGCGGCTGGACGAGAAGCGGAAGAAGGCGCTGGACCAGCACCTCAACTATATCGTCAATCAGACAGAGAAGTACAGTGAGAAGTTGGTGGAGGCTCTGCAGCAGACAAGCGCGCAGCCCAGCCGCGCCTCCTCGTCCGGGCTGGCGCCCGATGCCGGCGCCCAGCTGGACGGTAAGCCCTGGTTCCGGCCGGGCCATAAGCACCACCAGGCGAGAGGATCATTGTGTATGTGTGTGTGTTCAGGTGCGTGCAGCACGTCTTAAGGCCATTGCCAGACAAGTTACAGAGCTCCAGATGAATAATTGTATGATTGATTGTTTTTCTGCACTGTTCTTTTGGCATGCTTCACAGCATTGCAGTGAAATGAACAGCTGGGTTCTAGATAGAGCAACATTTCCAGGGAATCAAACAGATTGGGTAAACTCTTCTTGTGCCCACCCAGAAAGATTAATCTTGATAAAGTCCTGGGATCTGGTGAGGTGGCTGTAATAGCCAGGCATTAATTGGGTGGGGGCTGCCTGTGGGTGACGTGGCCGTGGCCGCCGAATCGCTGCCGTCATATGCCGCTGTGGCTCATCATATTACCTAGATCTGCCCTTAACCTCCAGTGATGGACATTGTTACTGAGTCACTCGCATGTGTGGTTACCATTTCTGGGACTTACTACCACCAGCCTGTGTTATAACTCAGAGGTTTGGTGATAGGTAAAATTGACCTTGTGGTAGCATGGATATGAATGTATCACTGTGTGCCTACTCCAGAGAAGTGTGAAGAGAAGTGAAGTGTATGGCACATATGTCAGATGTGCATTGTGACATTGGTGCCACTGGTGGTGCTGGTATTAGTGGGCTTTCTGACACTCTTTTTTAACAAGGGATTGTATTGCATCCAGTACATCGTAGCCCCAATGTGTTGGTTTGGGGTTACGCTGTTAGTATTTGGTGATCAAGACTTGACCTTTGCATTATCATGCCTTGCTTTCTCCTGTTACTTTGAAATGTATTCAGTATGGGGTGTGGTGCATGTTTAATCACATGTTCTGAAAATCTGTTGAGTTTCTAGGGTTGAGATGAAAATGACACCGTTTTTGGCACCTACGGCGATGTCATATTCTGTGGAGACGATTTTAACACTCTACTGGTCCGAGATCTTAGATAACAGAATGTGAAGGCAAGCAATGGTAGTTTGTCTTACTGAGACTTGGACGTGTGTAATTCCGCGCTTTCCGTTCCCCCACCCCCTCTTCTCAACACACAAGTGAACTGCCAACGTGACTGTGTTGCCATAACACATTTCGAGGTGAGCATCTGTTCCCTATCGCGCTTGCCCTGCCGATGTGGCAGTGGGCCATGTTGCACAGAGTTTGACGCGCACCCGGCGCGCCGCCACAGACGAGTTTGAGCCGCACTCGAGCTCGGAGGACGATGAGGAGACGATCGCTCTGGCCGAGCGGCACCTGCAGCAGCAGGACACGACGGCCGAGGTGAGCGCGCTCCAGCGCGAGTCGCAGCTGTCGCTGGACGCCGTGCTGGACCAGCTGCCGGCCGGCTACCTGGAGAACCGCCACTGCGACCTCGACGCCGCCAGCGCGAAGGTACGGAGTATGATGCGGATAGCCGCGATGCACAGCCGCGCTAATAGATCGTTCGGAAAAAGCACTGGTGAGCATGTCTTGGAAACTTAAGCCTGTGTATAAAGTGTGTGCCACACTATAATGGTAAGAAGTTTTGCCCGAACGGTAAAGAGCAGCACCGTGGCATACTTTGCCGCATCAGTGCCATTCCTAAAAGCTTCGCATCGAAATTGAGTGGTTTTGTCATTCATCACACCCACTGGTAACTTAAAATATCATTTGTCCCCTGCATGGAAGCACTCGCTCTCTGAGAATATTTCAGACCTCGTGCAGCGGGGTGGCTCGTTCGTGTTCTGCGTTGCCTAACTCACCGTTCGGTGCCGGTCAGGACTCGGCCGTGAACTCGGACGACGACTTCGAGGCGGAGTCTGGCGCGGGCAGCGACGACGAGGCGACCATCGCCGAACAGGAGGGCACCGAGCAGCACGAGGACCACGCCAAGGAGATCAACCAGCTGCAGGTGAGCCGCCGCTGCCGCCAGTGTTGTGCCATCCAGCGGGTTGTCAGGGGTTGATGGGTGCTGGTGAAGCCCAGAAACACACCCTGCAGGTGAGCCGCCGCTGCCGCCAGTGTTGTGCCGTCCAGCGGGGTGTCAGGGGCTGATGGGTGCTGGTGAGGCCCAGAAACACACCCCTTTGAATCGTGAATGCTGTGAAATCGGGGATGCCGGTAGTGGTGTGGTTAATGCATCTGCGTTAACCAATACGCGTCTGGGAAACCAGAGGTGCGGGTTTAGATTCCCCGCGGTGCCCGCCCTTCCTGCCAGGGTGAGAGGCGGGCGACGCCATATAGCCTCAGCAGCTGAGTGCGTCGTAAAGCCCCAATGACATGTCATGACAATGCTGTGAAGTCGAGTGGAATTATGGTAGAGTCAGTCAAGAATAATTGGAAAATGTGGACATGTTAGCTAAAAAGTTCAAGTTGTTTGAAGCTGGCCATGAATTAAGATGGTGTTATCCTGGGTCCGGTTGTAAATATTCCCATAATAACGGTTGGTAATTGCCGTGCACCTGATTTGCCCTGTAAACCTGCCACTGCTGTATATGTAGTTTTTCAGGCCCAATAGCTGGGGCAGAGAAAGCCGTCATTTCTTCCAGTCGGTTTATGAATTGAGCTGCGCGTTTTTCAGGATGAAGGTGAGATGCCTCTGAATGAGCTCATGAAAAAGTACGTCGGTGGCTCGACTGCGGCCGGTAGCGAATCCCAGAACGAGTCTGAGAACGACGGCGACGACGAAAATGCTACGGGAGACGAGGACGACGACGAGGGTACGGTGGACGAGGACGACGTGGAGGAACAGACGGAGGACGAAGAAGATGAAGAGGAGGAGGAGCAGGAGGAGGAAGAGGAAGAAGAAGAAGAAGAAGAAGAAGAAACCGAGATGGAGATCGGGCTGAAATCGTTGCTCGACGTGAACGCCAGCGACGCGGGAGACGCCACGAAGGTACGCTATCTGTACATGGTTATTACATGATTGAAGCAACATGGTAGATCACTGACAGCACATGCACGAACGATGAAGTGTTTTAAGTTCAACGTGACCTGAAGCTCGTGGGGTTTCGTAAACGCCAGGACTGCGTGCCTCGCGCCGCATGACTCCGAAGTAGGAGGATGCATGGGCTGGCTGGTCCCGTCGCTGTCGGCGCTTGGCATGGCGGTGTCCTGACTCGGTGTTCGGTTTCGGCAGGCAGGCCTGTCCGGGCCGGCCGAGATCACCGACGTGGCGGCGCTTGCCGAGACGTTCCAGCCCAAAGGCTACACGCTCTCCTCGACCACCGTCAAGACGCCGGTGCCGTTCCTGCTCAAGCACTCGCTGCGCGAGTACCAGCACGTGGGCCTCGAGTGGCTGTCGACCATGTTCGAGAAGAAGCTGAACGGCATTTTGGCGGACGAGATGGGTCTGGGCAAGACGATCCAGACGATCGCGCTGCTGGCTCACCTCGCCTGCGAGAAGGGCATTTGGGGACCGCATCTAATCATCGTACCCACCTCGGTGCTGCTCAACTGGGAGATGGAGCTGAAGAAGTGGTGTCCTGCCTTCAAGATCCTCACGTACTACGGTACGCAGAAGGAGCGCCGCATGAAGCGAACTGGCTGGACGAAGCAGAACTTCTTCCACGTGTGCATCACGTCGTACAAGTTGGTGCTTCAGGACCATGGCGCCTTCAGAAGGAAAAAGTGGAAGTACCTGATCTTGGATGAGGCTCAGAATATCAAGAACTTCAAGTCACAACGGTGGCAGCTGCTGCTCAACTTCCAATCACAAAGGTGAGGATGGAATGCCCCAGTTGGGCGACGCAGCGTGTTCATGCACGTGAGAAGCGTGGACTAGCATGGACGCCATTTTCGAAATTCATTCCGGTAGAAACTTTGGGGAGTTAATTTGACCCCACCTCCATCAGAGCGCGTTCAAACGCCACTGTATGTCGGCTTGTTGACATCTCGCCTACCAGCTGCACAATCCGCTGCGGATTCTGCAGTCAGTTGGGCTGGTGTGAACGGACGTTATATGTCGCGGCCCGCCATGCTGCTGCCAGATAAGGAAGTGATAGCAGGCTTGTCTACCAATGTTCTCGCCACGAGATTAACGCCAACGAATGTCCGAGTCATGGGTCCACGGACGTTGCATTGGAAGGGGCTGTTGGGCGCAATGACTGTCCGATGGCTCGGTCTCGTCCCGTATCATAAACCTATCATAAACCACCCTCTGTACACCCATCACGTATCAGTCCCGGGGAGAGTTGGATAGGTCCGCAGTAGTGTGTGCCATGTGCAGATGTGCTGTGCGGCGCCTATCCGTACAGCCAGTGGAATGTTGTACCCAAGAGCCCAACGCAAAATGCTGTGATCTGGCACGCACTCCGCAGTCGTGTGCGATTATTTAACCCAGTCAGACGACGCCCCCGGTTGGCACGAAGGATATTACGAAAGAAGATTAACAAAAGCAAGTGTTCGGGATAACGTCGTCATTTGGGGTTTTACGACGCACTCAGGTGCGGAGGCTATATGTTGTCGCCTGCCTCTCACTCTTACGGGAAAGGAGGGGGGGGGGGGAGGGGGGGGGGGGGGCGGCTGTTTACGTAAAGGCGTTAACCACTGCACTAACGGTACCCTCCTGCTAGCATCAGGTGTCGAGGGTCAATTGTAAAGTATCAGTCAGTTGTATCGTCATGGATGCGCTGGCGTTCCCGAGCCATGGGCGCTGTTTGGTGAACGACTGGGCGGTTTGGTGACTGCCGCTGTCTTTTTGACAGACGGCTCCTGCTGACTGGCACGCCGCTGCAGAATAACCTGATGGAGCTGTGGTCGCTGATGCACTTCCTCATGCCGCACGTGTTCGCCTCGCACCGCGAGTTCAAGGAGTGGTTCTCCAACCCGGTGTCAGGCATGATCGAGGGCAACACCGAGTACAACGAGAGCATTATCAAGCGGCTGCACAAGGTCCGTGTCTGACGCTCTACTCCTCGTGTAATCAGGCGAGGGACGAGTTGGACTGGCGGGCCGCATGTGACCTGGTGGTAAACTTGCCCGGGAGCGGATAATCATGGAATGTGAGGTGGCCTAGAGGTTTTGCAGCGTTCACGGCTGCGACGGTCCGGGCGCCTCGCAGATCAATAGGCCAGTCTCGTTTCCCGGCAACCAGCGCGTGGGTTTACGGGCAGAAAGGCTGGCAATACGGTCTGTGAGGGCGGCGGAGGAATGTGGAAGAACAGCTGTTTGCTTGCTTGCTTGCAGCCGATGGTTCAGCCGCCAGATTCGGTCGTTTCTGCAGATCGGCTTAAGTGATCAGCTGTTGGTGACGTCTGCTGTGTCGGTCAACGGATTGTCAGCAAGAAAGTTCGGGATATTTTACAACGCTGTTGCGCTCTGCTCGTGGTTCCTGTTTGACAAGCTCCGGATGCCAAACAGACATGTCCAATGTGACTGAGAATGTCTGATACGGAGAAGTTCTCGGATGGCCACTTACGCAGCGCGGCCGTTGTCCAGGTGCTGCGGCCGTTCCTCCTGCGACGGCTGAAGACGGAGGTGGAAAAGCAGCTGCCCAAGAAGTATGAACATGCCATCATGTGCAGACTCTCCAAGCGGCAGCGCTACCTCTACGACGAGTTCATGAGCCGCACCAAGTACGTATGGCCATGGGTTCATTGTAGATCACCTGACATTGATGGTGGGATATTGGATTGGGGTGGGGAAGGGCTGGTTGAAACCTTTCCAATGTTTAGATCAACTTGCGCCATTTGAAGTTCTGCCTGAGCCTGGGTGGGACACTAATGTTGATGTGCGAAATCAGTGGTAGCAGTGCAGACATGGTAGGGTCTTGCCGGCTTTGCGTACTCATGGCGAATGTGGACGTTGCCTTCCTACAAGGTGTTTTCCCCACTTGGCGTCAACACGCTGCTCGCTTTGCCCGCAGGACCAAGGAAACCTTGGCGACGGGTAACTTCATGAGCGTCATCAACATCCTGATGCAGCTGCGCAAGGTTTGCAACCATCCAGACATGTTCGAGGCGCGGCCCATCGTGTCGCCGTTCCGGATGGCGCGCATCGAGTTCGTCACGGCCTCGTGCGCGTGGAGCGCTCTCCAATACGACCCGTTCAAGGTAGGGTAACAGACGGCGGCGGCCGTCTGACGGACGTGCCCTGTTTGAGCCGATTGTAGACATGTGCTGCGTATTGAGGTGCCCTTTTCCACCAGAGTGGCGTTGTTGACTATGGTGGTTCATGCAGCTCATAGACGAATGGCTTGTCTCGTTTCTCGGGCGCCGGCTCGTAGTCGCCCGAGCAGAAAGGCCTGCTACATGCTGACGGGTCAGTGCCAGTCATCGTGCTATGTGCCCGACCCGGCTCACCCGATACTTGATGTCATCGAGAGAGGCAGGTACGATGACGATGTCACTACCGATAGATTTGGAAGACCGAACATTGTACAAGCATTGCTCTATGCGGCCACAGTGGAGCCATGGCTGCTGTCATGTACAGTCGGCTGCGCGACCTGTATTGGCTGATCGTAATGAAAGCGAATGTGTTCCCGCAAATAGCCTACCAACGGCTACGCGTCACCGGGATCTCCGCCGGCAGCACGTGGATCTGAACTTCCTGAATCTGCTGCTGGCCGACCTTGAGTTGTCGCTGACGGCGTTCGCGGCGCACCGGACGCGCCGCTTCCAAGCGCCGAGCCGGCTGATCGAGGAGGTGGACTTGCGGCCGCCGCCACCGCCTCGCTGTCCGGCAGGCCGCATCCGACTGCACGTGCGCGCCACGCCGCCGACGAGCGGCGTGTCGGCCGCGCCGCCCCCGCGGTTGCCGACGCCGGCTCCGCCGCGGCCGCTGGCGCCGCCGGCCGCCGCCACCGCACCGGCGCCGGCCTCGCTGCGCGGCTACGCGCTACAGGTGGTGCAGGGCGGCGTGGTGAAGACGATCCCGCTGTCGTCGCTGAGCGGCGCCGGCGGCGGTCCGCTGGCGCTGCAGATCCAGCAGACGGCGCAGGGGCCGCGTCTGGTGCCGGCCACCTCGTCTGCCGGCCTGCTGCTGCAGCCCGGCAAACCGCTGCTCGGCCAGACGCGCGCGCTTGGCAACGGCGCCCGTCTCACCACGCCCGCTTCAGGTACGACGCCGCGCGACGTGGCGCGCCTCACCACTACCGCAGACTTGTTGCCGTCAGCAACGCGCATATTTGTGGGCAAAAGGGTACTTATATTGTCATGTTAGTGTGACATGGGGATCCCACTGTCGTTGACCCAAAAGCTGGCCGTGGCTGCACTGAGGTGCCCTTTTCCACCAGAGTGGCGTTTTCGACCGGTGATTCATGCAGGTCATAGACGAATGGGTTGTCTCGTTTCTCGGGCGCCGGCTCGTAGTTTCCCGAGCAGAAAGGCCCGCTTCACGCCGCACAGCCGCGTCGCTGGTCAACGCCGGAGGCGTACGTAACATCTTGGCGTGCACTGTCCGACGTGTTGCTTGTACCGCCGCCTGTGCCACTGGCCAGCCGCCTCGCCGCCGTCCCCAGTGGACCCGCAGTCGCTGGCGGCGATGCTTGCGGCGCGCGGCCTGCCGGCCAACACCAGCGTGACGTTCGCCCGGCTGACGTCCGCCGCTGCGCCCCGGCCGACCGCCTCCAACGCGCTTGTCAGCAGCGTGCCCGCACAGCCGGCGGTGCGTACTCGCTCGGTCCCAGCCAGGCTTCATGCACTCAAGATCAGCGGCGCGACCGGTCGCCTGGCCGCGCCGCTTTTACAGCGGTGCTAGATGGTCCCGCATGGCCAGCAGGTGTGCATGCCCCGTGGTGTACTACCCTCTAGAACTGCGCGGACACGCCGATGACACTATATCGTTGGATTGTTCTTGGCATTGTCAGCTGGTAGCAACCACACAGTTGCATATAGCTGATGTTGGTGTCTCCTCTGCTCCAATGAACATATCGGTACCGACTTTCCTTATGTTGTCTGCTGTCGTGTGCATGACCTGATGTGGTGCCTGTGGCATCACAGGTGAACGCTGCGTCGCCCCAGTCGGCGCCTGCCTCGCGTCCGATGCCGCCGCAGCCACCGCAGCCCACTAGCCTGCTGTCGCCGCGGCCCACGCCGCCGCCGTCGCCCGGCCGGCCGGCGCCCGCGCTGCCGCAAACCAAGCCACACTCCATCTTCCGAATAGTGAGCTTCAGGGTGATGGTGATGGCATAGGGTTGGCGGTGCGCGCGTTCAGGCGGACACCTCGCGCATTTTGTGACCATACACTTCAGCAGTTTATTTTTCATGCCTTTAAAGATATTGAAATGACTGAAGCTCAAATCTTACAAGCAAGTGATGAAAGCAGTCGCCTTTCTGCCTTCGATACAGATGTTACTGGAACTCGTTTCCTTGCCATGACCATGCTATCAGGACCAGTCATTGTTGTCTCATTTCAGTCATGGGCACGGCGGAAGCCGCCAACCCGACTCCTTGGTAGACTTACCGCCGGGATCCTCTGTCGCGCAGAACTCACTGGAGGAGCAGCGCAAGATGATGCGGAAGGAGAAGCTGCTGACACTGTACCGGATCAACAAGCGACGCTGCGAGGCGTGCCCCATTTACGGCGCTGATCTGGTGCAGTCCGTACGCGTGGTGGACGGCGCCGGCGGCCGCGTGCCCGTCTGGAATGGGCTGGCGCACTGTGCGCCGCAGACGGCCGCCGGCGCCGTGCGCCGCTACTGGCACCGCACCGACGCGCTCAGCCGCCTCCTGCCCAGCGTCGACGACGTGCTGCAGCAGATGGACAACATACTCAGAAGGTGAGTGTGGCTCGGTGGCGGGAGGGTCACGGGAGGGTGTGAGTTGCACGCTGATGTGATGAGCTTACATTTACCTACATTCTCTGAGTCGGTGTGATTACTCTCCGTTGTCTGATGGTTTGAGGCGGCCGCGCGCCGGCCGTGCTGTGGACCTGTCCCGATGGCCGCCCGCCCGCGCCAACAGATACGTGGTGTACACGCCTGGCGTGTTGGCGCCGGAGATTCGTCCGCACGTGAGCCACCCGCCGCCGTCGCGGATCGAGGCCGAGCGACGGCGGCGACTGCGGCTGGTGGTCGAACTGTCGCCGCGTGTCTTCACGCTGCACCGGATCGCCAGTGCCATGACCACTCAGTTCCCGGAGCGGCGGCTGATCCAGTACGACTGTGGTAAGCTGCACTGGTGGGCCGAGCTCGCCGTCTGGCCGGTCCGGACGCGGCCACAGGTCCCGGTGAACCCGTTGCCGGTCCCAGTGTGGTGTGCCTCGCGCCCCAGAGTGAATGTTCAGCATGTCTTAGTTTCTTGGGTGGCTGACTGTATGCCATACAAGTAGGCGACTTGCCACATTTATACATATTTAACATCGCTGTTTCCGCGGCGGAAGGTGACGCCTTTTTGTCCTAAGTTCTTGGTTTTTGTTGACTACTATAAATGTGTAGGAATTGTTGGTGCCTCTCAAGCCAGTGTTTCACTGCCGGTGCTACTGCAAATTGATGTCCAGTCATGCCTTACTTGGAAAAAGGACATCAGTGCATAGTGCCCAAATGGTCATGGTTTTTCAGGCAAGCTTCAGGTGATGGACCTGCTGCTGCACAAACTGAAGTCGGAAGGCCATCGAGTGCTCATCTTCACCCAAATGACGCGTATGCTCGACATCCTGGAGCAGTTCCTGAATTTCCACGGCCACATCTACCTGCGACTGGACGGCACGACGCGAGTGGACCAGAGACAGGTGTGTGGGGGGAGAGGGTGTGCGGAGCGGACCGACCCCGCCGTAAATTACCGGGCCGGTGGCTCCGTGACCGAGCCCGGTGACGACCGGCGGCACAGCAGCCGACTGTGACGGCGGGACGCGGTGCCGGACGCGCCATGGGGCCGGTCCTCGGCGCCGACTCGCGCGCCTGGCTCCCGCCACACAGACACTTGGGAATGGTTAGCTTACTCGATATCGATACGCTCGGAATGCGTGCCGGAATTCGCGTGAATCGCTACTCTTGTTTTGGGCAGTTGAACAATTAAAAGATACCGCGTCGAATAGTTACGCGGCTTACAAATGTTTTTCCTCCATGTCAAAGAAACGGAATCGCCATGCATCGCCACACTCATCAATTTAGGGATATTGGATTCAGGCCTTTACCCTTCTCGGCGCTCGTTTATCTGTTGACAGGTTTTATTGCATCATGTTGAAAAACCGGCATCAAACATGGTCAACTCAGCACGTTGGCTTCATTTGCTACCTTGAGGCCCCGTGCAGTGTTGGATCTGTGGGAGGCCCTCGGGTATATTTTGTTTTGTGCTATACGTGCGTTGTATACCATGGCAGATGTTCAGGCCGGTGTCTCCGGACGCTGATCGAAGCGCCTGAATGGGACGAATGTTTCGCGTGTTGCCCCTGCGGCCGTGATAGCGTGTGCCCGCGGTCCTGCTGACGGTCAGTTCGCCGTCGGCAGGCGCTTATGGAGCGGTTCAACGCGGACAAACGCATCTTCTGCTTCATTCTGTCGACGCGCTCGGGCGGCATAGGCGTCAACCTGACGGGCGCCGACACGGTGGTCTTCTACGACTCGGACTGGAACCCGACGATGGACGCGCAGGCGCAGGACCGCTGCCACCGGATTGGCCAGACGCGCGACGTGCACATCTACAGGTGGGGCGCGCGGGCGCCGACGACGGTGTCTGGACGGCACCGCGAGCTGCAGGCATAGCCTGTCAGCGTCCCGGGCAGCGCCAGGTTGTTGGTCCCAGGTGAAACACCGCTTCTTCTGGTCGAGTGTTGTGTAAAGTAAGTGCAATGTAAACAGCGCTGATTTTAAATTGGTCGATGATGTTCTGAATGTTTGGTCGCGATCTGACAGATGCCTTTTTTTGCTAGGTTGGTGAGCGACAAAACGATCGAGGAGAACATCGTGAAGAAGGCCAACCAGAAGCGTCTGCTTGGCGACCTAGCTATCGAGGGCGGCAACTTCACCACGGCGTTCTTCAAGAAGGGCACGCTGCAGGACCTGTTCAACGTCGACATGGGCGAGGACGACGCCAACAAGCGCATGGCCGAGGTGGCGAAGCGCAGGCCCGACAAGGCCGAGGTGAGGTGACGGATGCCACCTGCTGATGCAGCCAGTCTCTGATGTTCTCATGTATGTTATGACTGTCGGATAATACTAGGACAACTTGTCAGCTGTGTGGCTCGTGTGGCATGGGAGAACTGGTGCCGTGGCTCAGTTCCGGCGAGAAGGGCGCGGAAATCGTGTCGGCCCCGCCTGGCCGGCCGACTTTGACCGGCTGGCCGCCAGGTGCCTCTGCCGCCCGTGTCGGCCGAGGTGGCGTTCGAGACGGCACTGGCCGCCGCCGAGGACGAACCAGACGCGCGCGCCGCCTGCACGGCGCGCGCCGAGGCCGACGCCCAGATGGCCGAGTTCGACGAGAACATCCCGCTGGAGGAGGGTGCCGACGTCGAGCCGGACGTGTCGCGCGCAGAGCTGGAGGTCCGACAGCTGGTCAGCCAGGTGGGTACGCGAGCGAACGCTGCCGGACGCTGCCGCAGTCGGCAGTGCACAAGGTGTTGGGACGGGGGCTGCTGAAGCGGTACGCAATGTCATTGAACGGGCGCTTGTGGTCGCTGAGTCCGCTTAACAATTAACGCGATGGAATGTTGGTTAACTCCGCGCTGGATTGTCTCGTTGGGTTGTACATATTGCGACCACATGTGGTGCGGGTTCCGCTGCCGCCGCGGGCAGCCACTGACTTGCGGCTGACGGCTGACGGCTGACGGCTCGTCGCTCTGTTCGTCCGTCAGCTGACTCCGATCGAACGCTGGGCGGTCGCCTTTGTGGAGGAGACGGACGACGGCTGGCAGCGCGAGGCCGAGCGCGTCGCCGCCGAGATCGACGCACGCAAGCGCGAGTGGGAGGCGGACCACCAGCAGGCGATGCGGCAGCAGGAGCGGGACTCGGCTCCCTCGGACGCCGAGTCGCTCACTTACGTGGCCGACGAGACGAGCCAGGTGCGCCCGCCACCGGCCGTCTCCGCCTGTCGCGTCACGCTGCACCGCATCGACGACCACCTCGACAGCCCCAAAACGCGCTCGCGCAGCACCGTGGACATTAACCTGTGGACGCTGGACACCCACCCGCTGCTGCCGGGCGAGCGGCCGGTGCGCAAGGGCGCCGAGACGCCCGTCCAGAACGGCTCGGCCACGCCGCCGCGCCGCAAGGCCCGGCGCGGGCGCGCGCTGGGCCGGCCGCGGCGAGTCGTGGAGGACTAGCGCTCCCCCCCCCCTCCCCTCATCCGCCCCCTCACCGCGCCCGCCGAAGTCTTAAAACTAAATGAATTCCCACTATTGCCAGTTCTCAGGCATTATTTGCGTATTCACCGCGCGGAGTGCGGATCCATCGTTTAGTGTGATACCGGTGGCTTCCATTTTGGAGCTGTCATTGCATGTGCTGTCATTGTTGCGCGTGCGCGCGTGTGCTACTGATGCGAATAAAGCCTGTGTCCGGCGGCCTGTTGGTGTTCCTGTCTGTCCCGGGGGGTGCAGTTTCGGTGTCCTCTCTCGGCGGCTGCTGCTGGTACGCGCGGGCGGGGGAGAGGCGCCGCGAGTGGCACCATCACAGGCACGCCCCCCTGGACAGACGTGCACGCCAGCAGGCCCCGGAGCGCACGCTGAAACTGGGCCCGCCCGCCGGACGCGACGCATTACGGGGCGCGGGAGGGGTAAATTCATCACGTGATCGATGCGTGGATCGATCATGCTGGTCCAAGTCGCCGACCTCCGCGCCCCCGTCCAAACTGCGTGGGCCGGCTGTCCAGCCCTCTGAACTGGCTCATTCTGCGTCCTACGCGGATATGAGGGGTTGAAACGGGAGTTACAGAGATGTGTTCCTGAAATGATCCCGAGAACTATGAAAGACTAGAATGTGCATAAGTTTGTGTTTTGGGCATGTTCAGGAATTGTTCTATTGTCCATGGCACAGTTGGTGGGAATGGACAGTTGGCCTTGAGAAATTCGGGGTGGTTCGCAGCTCATTTGGCCCCGCGGAGAATCCTAGGTCCCTGAAATGGCAGGCGGCGTAGATCGATCAGCACGGTCGGGTCCAATGATCTGGTGGGAAATACTTGGGCGCGCATAGAGAGTTGTAGGGTTAGACAAGTAAGAGTTTCAGCGTGTTCCGATTAATTAAACTTGGGAGGTTGTGTTGCACAAAAATTGGCGAAGGCTTGGCCGGGATATATATATATATATATATATATATATATATATATATATATATATATATATATTATTTTGCGAAAGTGGGGATTCCAGTTATGATAACATTTTAGTCCGTAGCGTTTCGATTGTGTGCCAAGTGCGACAGTTGTAATGTTTGGCTTGTTCGGCATTTTAAAGGTATGGTGCATGCTTTTATAACTAATATTGTTTTGTTCTTACTGGGATAGATTAGCCAGGTCGGGCCCCGAAGGTCCCAAGGTTTCCATGTTTGGGTGTCAGTAAGCGATTCCGACCAAAGAGGTCTGGGATGAATCTGCTGACATGGAATGCAAGACAGACAGCCCGGAGGGCGTGGTTTCGATTCCCAGGGACAGTGCTATCTGATGAGCTGGACCGTCCCCGCAGAGGCGCAATATTCTGGTGACTTAGGCGCACTCTGTGGCGGGGGGGGCGGCGCCCCGCATGACCGCCAACAGATCCTTGGCGGTAACCGAACGCAGCTGTTGGTTTCATTTCACCACCGGAGGGCGGATTGGGAAGTGCGGTTCTTTATGCAGATCGCTCGTCGTGGTCATAGTTTGAACAACTTTTCTTCAGTTGTCCTCTGAGCGCTACAGGCGTGGAAGGGATTGTTGTCTAGACTCTCGCATGCTACAATATGTAGGCTTACTGAGTTTTGTCTCACCATCCATGGTGATAAATTCCAGCCTGGACAATGCGTTGCGTTTTCCGTCTAACGGATAGCAGGATGTATGGTCACCTTTTTTTAACCTCGTCCTCTGTGTCGCCTACTTGCTGGAGCCACGTGGTCAGCTAAATCTAGACTTTCCTTAATTTTTCGTTCTTTTCGTTTTGTTTCGCTTCTTCGGCTTCTTTTCGTTCGACGTCAGTTTTTTTTGCCTTTCGTGCACCTGTAGTTTTGGTTTGTGCTTAGATGACAGACTTTATGTAGCAAACAGATGCAGCTGTTAGCTGGTTTGCTGTCTGCCAGAGCGTTTCATCAAGTCTTTCCACTTTCATTACGCGAAACGGATTGTCAACCCTGAAGTGCCTCCAAGACTCAGTTAGATTGCGCCGGTCAAACGGCTAGTTTTTTTAGCCCTGCTTCCCTCCACGCTGACTGGTCGTGGTGCCTTTTTATATGTCTGGGTGTAATAATTCACATGGTGGCGCGTCCAAAATGTGTGCAAGTATCTTGGCTTTCAACGCGTCGAGCGGGTTCACTGCCTATCCACATTGTGAATATCCAACCTAAAAGTGTAATACGCAATGCAGTTGTTACGCAGCGGTAATGGGGTAGTGCCGCTGTTCGCCGTTCTTCCGTGGGCGCCCTGAGCCTCCCAGAAATGACAGCGGTAATCTGCTGGTGAATGAAGGCGAGAGCTTAGCACCGTCGGCGAGATGGTGGCATTCACGGCTATGAACGAAAACACCTTATTCCACAGGTGTGGATTTCTGAAAACGCCGGAAACCACATGATGCCGGTAAGTTTGTTACTAGTCTGGCGGATGACTTGTGTGAAGAGACATCGCCGCCTACAATTATTTCGTTACCAGGTTCTGTCTAGTTTTTGTGTTGTCTTTCGTCGTGTTTGTTTCAGTTTGCCCTGGCGCAAAGGGTCGTCGCGGCGGAGGCGGCCGTGCCATATAGCTATGTGTATCGATAACTCGCTGTGAGATTCTATGTGGGCAGAACGAACCGACTATATGATCCGTTCGACAAAAATGGCGCAACTCGCTGGTCAAGCTGTGGGGGCTAGCCTCTGCCGCACCCACTACCTCGCCAGTGAGCATTTCGAAACAAACTCCGACGTATGCCGCTTCTTTGACGGAGGCGTGTCGCGCACGTTGAGGCCTGCCATCCTCAGACGCTGCCCCGTGTGTGACGTGTGACGGAGTCGGGCCGCGCTCGGCCGGCAGATGTGGGCACCGCCGACGCCGCCGCGCGACGACAACGACGTGTATATGGAACAGCCGGACGGCCTGCTGTACGAGACGAGCGTCATGACCGAGGCGCAGCTGCCGCCCGTGTTTGTCAAGAAGGAGACGCGCCGCATCAAGACGGAGCCTGGCACCCCACTGCGTGAGTGACACTCGGACGGGGCGTTGACCGGACTCCGGCGCAGCCCTGTCTCCGGCGTCATGGCTGTGACTGTGGCTGTGGTGCTGGCTGTGGGTGACGGGTGTATTGGTGACCCGAGTTACCGTGTGTGTGGGGGGGGGGGGGGGGTAGCATGTCACTATGTCACATCGGTTGTAGGGGCGCTGCCCATGTATCGTGGGGGTGCGAGCTGCTCTGTCTGTGGGGGTGCGGGCCGGCACAATCGTGCTCGGTGGGAGTGGCGAGTCGACGCCGTCGTGTTCTGTGTGGGTGGCGAGTCGGCGCCGTCGTGCTTTGTCCGTGTGGGTGGCGAGTCGGCGCCGTCGTGCTCTCTGTGGGGGTGGCGAGTCGGCGCCCGTGGTCTGTCTGTGGGGGTGGCGAGACGAGGCCGTCGTGCTCTGTGGGGGTGGCGAGTCGGCGCCGTCGTGCTCTGTCCGTGTGAGTGGCGAGTCGGCGCCGTCGTGCTCTGTCCGTGTGGGTGGCGAGTCGGCGCCGTCGTGGTCTGTCTGTGGGGGTGGCGAGACGAGGCCGTCGTGCTCTATGGGGGTGGCGAGTCGGCGCCGTCGTGGTCTGTCCGTGTGGGTGGCGAGTCGGCGCCGTCGTGGTCTGTCTGTGGGGGTGGCGAGTCGGCGCCGTCGTGGTCTGTCTGTGGGGGTGGCGAGACGACGCCGTCGTGCTCTGTCTGTGGGGGTGGCGAGTCGGCGCCGTCGTGCTCTGTCTGTGGGGGTGGCGAGTCGGCGCCGTCGTGGTCTGTCTGTGGGGGTGGCGAGTCGGCGCCGTCGTGGTCTGTCTGTGGGGGTGGCGAGACGACGCCGTCGTGCTCTGGGGGTGGCGAGTCGGCGCCGTCGTGGTCTGTCTGTGGGGGTGGCGAGTCGGCGCCGTCGTGGTCTGTCTGTGGGGGTGGCGAGACGAGGCCGTCGTGCTCTATGGGGGTGGCGAGTCGGCGCCGTCGTGGTCTGTCTGTGGGGGTGGCGAGACGACGCCGTCGTGCTCTGTCTGTGGGGGTGTCGAGTCGGCGCCGTCGTGGTCTGTCTGTGGGGGTGGCGAGACGACGCCGTCGTGCTCTGGGGGTGGCGAGTCGGTGCCGTCGTGCCGTCGTGCTCGCCGCGCCGCTCATCTGACCGGTCGCCCCTGCTTCCCGACGTCGGCAGCGTCGCAGCCGGGCACGGCGCCGCTGCTCAAGAAGCCGATGAAGGTGAAGCGTGACGAGGCCGGCTTCGCGCCGCGTTCAGTCTTCAACCGTTTGTCGCCGGCGGCGCTGAAAATGCGCCGCGACCTGCGGTTGCAGCAGCGGCGCACCATCTTCAGCCCGGGCACGCTGAGCCTGGCGTCTGCCAAGCCAGCGCTGCTCGCCTCCAAGGCCGGCCTGGACGACCACGCACCGGACTGGCTGGTGCACGAGGACCTGGCCCTGCTGCAGGTCGGTCGCGTTCGGCTGTTTCCTCCCTCCGCACCGCCGGCCGTCCGGCGGGCGGTGTCTGTCCATGCTTCTCTCGCTCCGACGAGCCCCGAGCACGTGATGAAATAAAAGGCCGAAATAAGAGTACTCTGATGTTGCAGTCAACGCTGGACTCTGTGCTTTGAATCATCCGAAGCGACATAAATACCTGATGGGCTCTGCGGTGCGCGTGTCGAGCGTCGGGGGCCGCCCTGTCTAACCGGGCGCTTTGCGTGTGTGTGTGTGTCTGCCGACAGGCGCTGAAGACGGTGCTGGAGATGCCGCTGAACCTGACGGTGGTGTCGCCGGCGCACACGCCCAACTGGGACCTGGTCTCCGACCTGGTTAATCACGTGGGCCGCGCCTACCGCTCACCCAAGCAGTGCCGCCTACGCTACGAGAATATCGTGCAGCCGCGCGAGGAGGGTAAGCTTGTGTACGATCCCAGCCCGAAGAAGGCCAAGAAGCACAAGATGGGACCGGGCAAGCTCACCCTGCCGACGGCCAAGGCGGGCCGGCCGCTGCGCACTTCACAGCTGGCCATGCAGGACAAGAACCAGGCGTTCAGCCAGCTGTTTACCGTGCGCTTCGAGACGATGAAGTCGATCGCCAACAAGCGCGTGCCAACGACACGGCCGGCGCTGATGTCGCCAGTGAACCGGAACCCGAAGCACGCGGCCGTGCTGGCCGACTCGGCGATCGAGTACGACACGCCGCTCACGCCCGTCGAGGTGGCCGCCAACCGCGCCACGCGTATCGCCAAGGAGAAGCTCAAGTCGGTGAGTGGTGGTGCCAGCTGAGCGGCGTTGGAGCTGGGAGGGGGAAGCGCGGAATATTACGTTCGGATCATCGTTTCTGTTGTAGAGTTGGTGTGGACTCGTGCCCTCGCTTTCACTTGTGTGCGTGCTTACGGGATATTTTTCCTACATGGCGGGTGGTTTGTGGCGACGAGTTTAATGTTGGCGTAGCCTGGATGAAGTTTTCGCCAATACCACGCCCCACTGTCATTGTCGGCCGTTGCTGCATGCACCAGGCCCACTGTCACCGTCGGCCGTTGCTGCGCGCGCCAGGCCTGCTTGTCTAAGCCCTGAGGCGTGTCTGCCGTTCCGCAGGCGTCGGTGGAGCAGCTGACACGGCTGCAGAAGGTGCAGGTGGCGGCGGCGGGCGGCGTGGCCTCGGGCAGCGGCCTGGTGGCGCCACGGCCGCCGCTGGTGCCGGCGCGCGTCAGCGCCGTGGCCGTGACGTCGGCCGGCGCCATCGTCTCCGTCTCCAGCCTGACGGCCGCCCAGGTGCAGGTGGCGCAGCGCTTCGTCTCCAGCGGCCTAGTGGCCTCGTCTGCCGCCGCCAAGGCTTGCCTCGGCGCCTCGATCCCCATCCAGACGCTGACGCAGAAGTCGCTAACGCCCAACCAGCTGCAGGTGCTCAAGCAGCAGACGATGCTGCGTCAGAAACTTACGCTGGACCCGCTGAAGCGGCTGCAGGTGGCGACGACGGCGGCGGCGGCCGGCGCGGCTGGCAGCGCGCTGGCCGGCACCGGGCCGCAGAAGGTGCAGGTGGCCGTCACGTCGCTGGGCGCCGTTGCCGGTATGGCGGCCGTGCCCGTGACGCAGGCGCAGGCGCGCACGCAGGTGCGCATCCTCAAGCAGGCGGCCGGCAAGCAGATGGTGGCGGCGCGCACCATGACCGAGTCGGAGATGGCGGCTATCCTGAAGCAGAAGCCGCAGCTGTCGCAGATGCAGTCGGCGCAGCTGATGCCGCAGTTCTTGGCTCAGGTGCAGAGCGCGGCGGCGCGCGCTGGCCAGGCGTCGCCGTCGACGAGCGGCGCTACCCAGACGGTCACCATTCCGGTGACGGCTATCAGCATGGCCGGCGTCACGCTGCCGCACATGCGCGCCGGCACGCCCGCCAAGGTGAGCGGCGGACTCGGCTGCGCTGGTGTGCTGGTGCCATGGTGCTGCTGGCATTGGACGACGAAGGGTTCAGAATCTGCCTTTTTTGTCCAAGTATGACGCCAGGAGATTGGGAATTTCACCCAGATTGAAGTATTTCGTTTCATCGCGCCAGGGAATGTATTGATTTCATATCTGAATCTAAAACGTCAATTGAATTTACTCTTATCATGCTTAGCTAGGTTCAGAGGTGAAGCAATCGACACGCGACGGCCGCTGCCTGCCGCTGCTGATGCGGCAGCCGGCGACGTGCGTGACCGGCGGACGCTACTCTGTCCGCAGGTGTCGACCGCCTCTCAGCAGCAGATCCGACAGCTGGCGCTGCAGAAGCAGCTGATCACGCCACAGCGCAAGCTGACGGGCCAACCGCAGCTGGCGCAGGTGGGTGGCAAGCGCGTGCCCACCCAGCTGTCGGCTGTGCAGATTGTGCAGGGCCAGAAGCAGCTGCCGACCACGGTCACCGTGCAGCAGATCCAGCAGGTGATGGGTCGCGAGGTGATCAAGGTGCCGCCGCCGGCCGCCGGCGGCGCGCGCGCCTCGCCGTCGCACCTGCAGGCGCGCGTGCTTCCGAGCTCGCACGCGCCCATCAAGCAGACGATCCAGGTGGTGTCCGCGGCCGGCGGCGCGTTCCCGGCAGCGGGGCTGGCGCGCCAGCAGCCGCGCCCGGCCGCCGTGCAGGTGGTACAGCCGGCCCCGTCGCTCGCCCAGCCGACCCAGCAGCAGCAGCAGCAGCAGCCGACGCAGCAGCAGCAACAGCAGCTGCAGCAGGTGATGACCGCGGCCGGCTCGCAGGTGGAACAGACGCCGAGGCTCGCGAGACTTCAGATCATATAGCTGTATCATATAGATCAATCAGAGTATCATATAGCTGGTCGTGACGAAAGCTGCAAATAAAATGTTGAATAGAATTAGGTCCGAGAGTAGAGCAGTCTGGTACGAAAGATGTCGACAGGTTGCTCGCGCTGTTTGCTGACCCTCTGCGTGCGCCCGGCCGCTTCAGACCGCGGCCGTGGCGCTGCCCCAGCTGAAGGCGGTGGTGAGCGCGCCCGGCTCGCCGTCCGCGTCGCGTGCTTCGCCCTACTCGATGCGACTGCGCACGGTGTCTGGCACGGCGCCCGAGCCGCCCGGCCCAGCCGCCACGCCGCCCGACACCTAGTCCCTGCTGCCGCCGTCGCCGTCGTCGTCACGCTGTGAATACGTGGGCTGTGCTGAAGAGGTGCGGAGCGGGTTTTGCGCGCGCGCGCACTGATGGCGGCGTCTCATTGTTCGGCGCGTGTGATGAGGGGACTGTCGCAGCCGTCGGCGCAAATGCAGCCGTTTTTTCTTTTGTATTGCCGGAGCGTCGAGTGAGCTTGTAGACCGAGTGGTTCAAGAGTTCAGCCCACCCTGCGAGCACGGCGGCGGCCGCCGCTCTGTCGCCTGGCATCGCCGCCGTCCGAACCGTCGCCAGACACCGACACGCCGAGCCAGGTGCGTCGTTCGCCGGCCCTCCCCGACCCGCGTCCGGAGAGAGGCGCCCGCACCCACGATCAGCGGCACGGCCGGTCGCTTGGCCGCGCCGCTTTTGCAGCGGTGCTAGATGATCCCGCACGGCCAGCAGGTGTGCACGTCCCGCGGTGTACTACCCTCTAGAACTGCGCGGACACGGTCGATTTGAACTCGCTGGTTTTGATGACGCTGTGGTGACAGCAACTGAGAGGTGCGGCCCATTCAGCCTGTCGCTCGGATAGCCCCGCTCTGTGCCGTCGCTGTTACGGCCGCCTGATGATGCAGCTGATAATCAGCTGACGTCCGTGTGCTTGTTTGCAGGTCCGGTCTGCCGGCTCGTGGCGCTTCCAGCTCTGCCTGGCAGTGTGTCCTGTGCGCAGTTCCGTCGTGCGGGAGAAACAGGTAGGAGGCGAACCGCTTTTACGTCTATTCAATGGAGAAGCTGCCGGAAGTCAGTCGATGGCCGTACTCCTGCACTGTGATGAACCTACATTTACCTACATTCTCTGAGTCGGTGTGATTACTCTCCAGTGTCTGATGGTGCCGGCTGCGACCTTTTATCTACTGTGTTGTCGACCTGCCCTGACCCACCATTATTCCGGTCAGGTACACGGTGTGCTCGCTCAGCGCGCTGGTGTCGCAGGTCACTCTGCCTATAGCCACCCGCCGGCGTGGTCCAGCACTGCTCTGGTGAGTTGCGGTGTAAGGTCGGCTAGAAAGACTGCGTGCTGGCGTGTGGCCCAACTGGTCCTGCTGCTGTGCTGATGTGATGAACTTGTATTTACCTACATTCTTTGAGTCGGTGTGATAACGCTCAAGTGACTGATGGTGCCAGTGGCAATCTTGTGTTGGCTGCGGCGTCGACCTGCACTTACCGTAGACTGTCTTCGTCGTTAGGTATCTGCTGTTCCTGTCCAGCGGTGCCGCAGATAGCTCCGCCCATGAGCCAGCCGCCTCGGCTGTCCAGCGCGGTGAGTTACGGTGTGTAACGGTCGGCGTGAATGGCGCCTGCGTGTTGGCGTGTGGCTCAGCCAGTTTTGTGCTGTGCTGATATGATGAACTTGCATTTGCCTACATTCTTTGAGTTGTTATGATTACGCTCTGATGACTGACGGCCTGAGCTGGCCGTGGGTCGGCCTGGGGACGGACCCTCTCCTACCGCTCGCTGCCCGTGTCCGCAGATGCGCAGCTGACGCGCGCAGGCGCCACACACTCGTGTGCACGCGGGGCGCCCGCCTCCGTCCCGGGGCGGCGGCGGCTGATCCAGTACGACTGTGGTAAGCTGCACTGGTGGGCCGAGCTCGCCGTCTGGCCGATCCGGACGCGGCCACCGGTCCCGGTGAACCTGTTGCCGGTCCCAGTGTGGTGTGCCTCGCGCCCCAGAGTGAATGTTCAGCATGTCTTAGTTTCTTGGGTGGCCAACTGTATACCATACAAGTAGGCGACTTGCCACATTTCGACTGGTGCAGTATGCAGTTATGTCGTGCGTCCTTTGTCATTCCCGGAAGTCTTATGATCATTCTTCCGAATTGGAGCTTGGTTGAAGTCATAATGTATTGTTGCGATTTCTTTTTAGCGATACGTGGACTGTGTAAACGTCCCGCACTAAATATGGCGGACCCTCCCTTCATGCTGCTGTTGGCAATAAACCCACTGCCGAAGGAACTTAGTTTTCTTCAGTAGTATATGGCAAACAGCATCTCTGCTCTATTTGAAGACTAGCGAAACCCCAAATCAGTGGTTGATGTACCATGTACGGGCGTGAGGCGGCAAACTTCAGAGCTCCCGGTCATTGGTCATATGCTTGGTGAATGATACGTATGTACGACCCGCTGGTGGTCATTATCATCAAGTGAAGGATTACGTTCCGGTCGATTGAAAAAAAAAATATGCTCTTCTATTAGGATTCCACTGTTTTTAAGAATTGCACCAGGCATTGCTGTGGATAACTTTTAAAATGCAATATTACCGAGCGAAAACTATGATTATCTCCTCGCAAGAAATACCAGTGAAGGGGTTCGGTCTTGAGCTCTTCGTTTTTTGTTTTTGTTTTGTATATGAAAGGGAGTTCTAATTCGGACAACAATTGACCTTCTCAGACCGAGAGACAGTGGTAAACAACTTAGTCAAGCAAGTATTGACTATCGAACAAACCTGGACGCTGCGGGAAATGGCGAGACCAGAAATCTGACAATGGTTGGCAACAGTTCTGCTGGTAATGCTACTGGATGGCATCACAGGAACACAGCACGCTGCGTGCCCACCTGGAACGGGCCGGCGCACTGTGCGCCGCAGACGGCCGCCAGCGCCGTGCGCCGCTACTGGCACCGCACCGACGCGCTCAGCCGCCTCCTGCCCAGCGTCGACGAGATGCTGGAGCGGATGGGCAACATACTCAGAAGGTGAGTGTGGCTCGGTGGCGGGAGGGTCACGAGAGGGTGTGAGTTGCACGCTGACGTGATGAGCTTACATTTACCTACATTCTCTGAGTCGGTGTGATTACTCTCCGTTGTCTGATGGCTTGAGGCGGCCGCGCGCCGGCCGTGCTGTGGACCTGTCCCGATGGCCGCCTGCCCGCGTCAACAGATACGTGGTGTACACGCCTGGCGCGCCGTCCCCGGAGTAACTGCGCTGCACGTTCTGGAGCAGCTACGCGGATGAAAGGCGCGACGCGAGTGGACTAGAGACGTGTGTGTGGGTGTGTGCGCGCGCGCGCGCGCGCGGGCCGACCGGGCCGGTGGCTCCGTGACCGAGCGCGGTGACGACCGGCGGCACAGCAGCCGTCTGTGACGGTGGGACGCGGTGCCGGACGCGCCACGGGGCTGGTCCGCGGCACTGACTGGCGTGCTCGGCCCCTGCCACACCGACACCAGGAGCGGCGATGCCTCGCCTGCTCCTTCGGTCATCAGGTTGGGTGAGCGTCTGTGGAGTTCTCGGACATACAGTTAGCGAGAGCGAGCCGACAGCAAGCCACAGTCAGTTGTTGTTACTGCAGTTCTGTTCGGTCTGCAGGCGTCGCGCCTGGCCTCTGACGGCATGCGGCAATGGACTGACGCTTGCGTTCCAATGGTGTTTCGTGATAGTAACAGCGTGCACTTGCTTTGCAGTGCTGGCGGTGTTTCACTGGTGGTGGCAGAACAGTCGTGTCCGCAGTGCTGGCGGTGTTTCGCTGGCGGTGGCAGAACAGTCGTGTCCGCAGTGCTGGGACCCGATGTATGTAGTGGCCTCGGGGGGGGGGGAGGGGGTTGAATTGGGAACGGCGATAGCGGGGGATACTGAACCGAGCCCCGAGAGAGGTTCGGGAGCGACTAGTAGCTGGCCTAGGGCGACGGTGAGGCTGACCCTTGCGCGTTAGATCGCGGAAGAAAGCGCGCTTGTGCTACCGAAACGTGAATATGGTCATTGTCACCTGTATATTTCTCACCGATGTCATCTGTCTGTAGCGTTCATCCGCACAAGCGTACGCCGCCCACATTGTCACCCCATTATTACTCCATGTCTCCCTGTGATCTGCAATTTTTAAGGTCGACTTATTGTATGGTTGACCTACTCACAGCCAGTCGGTGTCTGTAAGACTGTCGTAATGCGAATACATCGTTGGCCTGGTACGTTGGTCTCCTGCGGTCGACGCCGTAGAGTACAGCATTTTTGACGGCAGAGAGAAGTCGGCCGTGCTGTTGACATGCACCAGTGAGTATCGTCCGTCGCACGGATGAATGTGAACTCCCATACGGTTGTGGAAATTGCTTATCACTCGCGAGATCGATGGTTATGCACTAATTACGTTCTTAGTGTACGGCTGGTTTACTGTGCGAAAATTGTGCTGGCCGTGGGCACACGACAGGACGGGGAGAACGTATGGTCAGAATTCATAACTAGATTCGTGGTTTAGGACCATCGACAGGCGAACGAATTACGTCGTTATATATGAACACCTAGACCGCCTGCAAACGCGTCACATGCGCACTCTTCGGTCACGCATCGATTTTCCAGTGTGTTCCCAGCCAGGGGCGGGTCCATGGGAGGGGGAGGCATGAGGCCATGTCCGCATGGGCCTCGAAGAGAGAGAACAAGAACAGTCGCAAGCGAAAGTGGAGGGCCCACGAGAAGACAAGTTCGCCGACAGTTCAGGCTCAGTAATTCACAAGTTTACTTCACTGATAGAGAAGATGGTGATTGGGAGGTTTTAAGGTTCAACCACGTTGTCCAGAAGCCCCACACGGTTTTCGGAGGCCCTATATATGCACTTGATGGGTCAATCCGATCGTTGAGGAACTTTCCACGTTGACCTTGATTTCTTTGCAGTTGCTCGGAGGGCCTCGCGCTGTTGCTGGACCCTTCCTGCCGGCGTGCCATGGCACTTTTGTCCATTAGGGGCCTTCCAATACTTGTCTCCATTTGCCCGAATGGCTCTGTGTTCTAGCCGGGGGCTCCGTACGTTAGCCTGCTGGGGTATTCTCGGCTGCTCAGGGGCCATTCACGGTGTCCGTTAAGTTAGCTATGTATTCATTGATTTATTCAGAGACGAGTTCTGATTTCTCTGTAAACAGGTATATATATATACGGTGACACGGTGACATATACGGTCGGTGACACAGCCTCTGTTCATCGCATGAGAGCAAACCCAGAAATCTATCGCTCGTTAAAAGAAAAAGGCAACGCTTACACGTGTGCTAACCGTTAGTGTTTAAAACAATACCGCAACACACACGCGCGCGCACACGCACGCACGCACGCACGGTTTTTTCTCACAATTTTGTCATCTATGCCAAAACACAGGTACGTCAGTATACCGGGAGACCCGTGGCTTCGCTAAGATTCTATGCCAATATTTCCAAAATATGATGACATCAACAGTTCCAGGTAGTGCACGTGGTCACCTGCGAATAAGTCAAGGCATAACGCGCAATTCAAAAGGCCTGTGAATGATCGTAACTGTTGTAAATCTGTACAGATCCTGACAAGAAAAGTATTAAAATAATCAGGCATGCAAGCTTCCATATCCTAATGCGAGGCACACGGCACTATGATGAGGCCTGCACGAGACATCAATGGCTAGGCCAGAAGGTTTCGATGGACAGATCAGAAGGCAATTCGCTACAGGAAATCATTGTCAAAATCAATCAGCAGACAAGTATTGCTGAACGTACTTTATCTGAACAACAGCGCTAACAATCAGTATTTCACGATGGTGCTTGCGAGTTTAGCCTCTGTCAACGTTTATAACACGTAGCGATTTTTATATCCTTGGCCTGCATTGTCTTATGCCGTTGCCGAAATGTGCACCTTAAAGTTTAAGTATGTTATAATGTGTGCCATTGGTGCATGTATGTCGACTACTTCGTCCCCTAATTGTGAGCGTACGCTCTCCGTAGATGTGTCCCCAGGTGTTCATTAAACAAGCCTGAGTGTCATGCATTATTCTTCTCACATACAATTTCACTGGAAAAAGATTGCAAGACGTTTTGTGTACATCCTGTGCGTACAGAACCATATACCCTGTATTGTGTATTCTGCTCTATTCTGTGTATTTTACTTTCGGCCCATTGAGACCATCGGTGTAGGAACAGGGGGCCAGGGGACCATGGACCCCCCACTTTTCAAGGTGGGAGGCTTGCAATGTTAACAGCCCCTCCCCCCTCCACTTTTCAGACTAAGGTTGCATTTGGCTTACTTTTGCACTACATATAACATCCATGCCGATTTACTAAGTCCACCAGACATTGCCCTTAAGATGCGTCATCTTTTTCGTTTGCTCATTGGCCATCGCTTAGTACTACAGCCGCAAGGCCGAAGTCGCACGGGATGGCGGCTGCAACGCCGGGTGTCGAGGCTGTTGCTGCTATGACTTGGGAGCGCGCATGTTTAAGACCATATTACGTAGTTTTCTTATCAGTAATCAGTTATGACAGGATCTTGAGCATATTAAGACGAACATGGGTTTGTCATGTTAATGGAAATTATAAACCCCATTTCATTTACAATCTGCCATCAGGGAGAACTCAATATCTCTGAAGAACACATAACACGGAACTAGCGTCTATGTGACAATTATTGGACTATCTGCGGTGATCAGGGATGTTGTTGTGTCAATGAGGGTTCCTGTGCTGATCCGGGGCTAACTGCTCGGGTCAGAAGGCCTCCCGTGTCAGGGATGGGAACAATGTGGTGTGGGAAAAATGAGGTATATCCTTCTAATGGCCTCCGGATCGACCAGGCGATCCCACCCCGTGTCGCCAGAATGATAGCCAGAAAACACTTTGCGATGGAACGAAATGGCCCTTCCGCCCTTGACCGGAAACGGTAATGTACCCCTGATGTTCTTCTCAGGAGGCCTTACCCGGAAGGAAATAAGGAGTCTCATTGTTGAGTAGAGTGGGATTTCATTATTGTTGAATAGGATGGGTCGAAATCAGCTTAAAAACGAGCAAGTTCATGTCATGTTTGCCTGAGAACGCTAAGTTTTCAGAATATCCTAGTGAAGCAAATTACATCAAAAGGCTTGAGCATACCCGCGCGCAACCTCGAGAGCAAGGATGGTCTGGGTTGCAGCTTCCGTATAACCAAAAAGTTTCTGCCACTACAAGTGCCACCAGACGGCGGGTGCCGTGTTAATCTGTCTTCTGGATAGATAAATACTTGCAAAAACACGAAAAATAGAGATCCTACCTTCACTCTTCCAGTTCGATCACCAGATTCCAGCCCCACTTCACAGTGCTTTAAGGGCAAATCCGTTCTTTTCATCAGTCAAAAAATTGCACACGTGAAATATGCGCTCCGTAATTTTGCTGTACTTTACAATATTTTAGAATACTTTTTCAGGAGCGCCGTCATTTTCGTCCGCCCGTTGACCACAGCCTAGTATCAGCTGCTAGGCCGACGTTGCGCAGCCTATGGAGGCTGCAACACTTGGTGTCGAGGCTTGTGTTTCTAAGATTTTGAAGTACGCATGCTCAAAATGACGTCGCATAACTTGTATTGATAGTCGATTACAGTGTTAAAAGGTAATAATTTCAGAAGCGTCATCATTTTCGTCCACCGGTGGGCCACGGTTAAAAGTTAGCCACTGGGCTAAAGCTCCGCAGATAATGAAGGCTGCAACGCCTGGTGCTGAGGTTTTTGTTGCTAAGATTTGCGGGCGTGCATGTGAAAAAAGCATGTTACATAAGTTATATCACCAATAGATTCTGACTGAATGGTGTACATTTCCAGACGAATATGACCTGATTATGTAAATACACATTGTTGACCACTCGATCTGCAAATTTTCATCTTCAAATTTGGATCAAACACATCGATCTACAATCTACCTTCGCGATGTCCTAATTGTTTGTAGAACCAAGATGGAAATTCTGACAAGGCTTCTGAATTCTATGGGCTTAGAAAGAGTCAGCTAAACCATTGTAAAGAAAGAGCTCCGGTGATTTATTCCATGCAGTCGTTCAACGGCTGATTTCTGCAGTTTATTGACCTCAAAATACAAACAGAATTCAGCTCGCGGTAGCTCCTGGTTTCTGTGCGGGTTACCAGGTAAAAATAACTATAAAACGAAGAAAACCTGGTCTCTTGTTAACCAGCAAGCTATATCCGGGGATTTTTTTTTTGGGGGGGGGGATCACCATGAGATGGGCTTTTGTCAACCATGTGTTCCCCTTGGCAACGCTCTGGCTACGCCCCTGCCTACACACAAAAGCAGATCAAGTTGCGTACGCTGCTTGATAGACAATGAAGTGTCCGTTGGGTCAGTCCATACATAAGGCAGACAGCTTCCCGGAGACTATTCTTCTGCGATGGTATGGTATCAGGGAAGGTCATTCCGAAAAAAATACTGTTGCAGGTGTCCAACACATGTTTCACCACGTAGTAGTAGCGCTGATCCAAAAGTATGCAACAAAGTAGTCATACGATCAGCTCGCAGCCAGTCGTGCGGGAGGCATCCGGGCCAGGGTAGTGACCACCGACGGCGGACAGGAGCAGGGCCCAGATAAGGAACTTATGGCAGATGGGCCTCGTGGCTTGGTTCTTAAAAGCAGTGTGAACCATCGATCCACTTTCAAAATTCTCACTAGCCTGTGTCCAGGCCGCGGTTCGGCATTTACACTGTGGAGGTAGATGCCTCCTCAATGATCCAAAATGCCTACCCGGTCGTGCAATTTCGCTTCCCCAGGAGGGATGATGTTAAAATGGACGAATAATCTCGGGGAGCTGGAAAGCCTTATTTGCCAAATGACAGATGAGTCGAATAGGCAAGATTGTGCACCAATGAGAAACAGCTCTAGATGCATATCTAGCGTAGCAGCCATGACATTTGAATAAAGAGCGATGACAACCTCCATCTCTACCCCCTCCCGCCGGTTTTCGGGCTCGCTTTCCGGAAAAAAATTGCTGAAGTACACCCTGAGCTTGGCCCCCCCACCTTTTGAAACGTTCCTACGCCTTTGATTGAGGCATATATGACAAGCTTGAGGTTTTTATGACAGTCCTTTTTCTTTCGATTTCGGCAAGAAGCCTGGCATGGGCTAGTTCCATGAACCAAAACGCGCAAGTGTCATCGGCATGTCGCATGTGCGATCATGGTCTTATGTCATATAACTGGAAGAAAAGATGAATCCAGACATAGCACAGATAATAAAGTCTAGCAGGATGATAGTTTAGATAATATCACTACACGCGTAAACACTAAACGTGACAAAGAATGCAACAACTTGTAGGAATACTCCGTTTGCAGAATGAATAGGGTCGGTATAGTGAGCATAATCGAGGAAAACTTGATAGCACATCATTCTTCGGTATCGCACTGAGTGTTTCCTGACTGTTTCCAAGAACGGTCTCACAGATTTGACAATAGGCTGGTGTTCTTCGCAATCTCAGTGCGCGACTTGAACGTATAGCTGCATGCAATAGCCGTGTACCTCCCCTAGCTCTAGCATTGTCTTCTTTCATCTCTCTTTCGAAATGAGGCTTAAATCGAGGCTGTACATCAGATATATTGACAAAATTTGTTACATCGGAGCCTAGGAGACTGACTGGTCAGCTTTTTTTGCTAAAATTAGAAACGCTATCCCACTATGTCTGTTATACCGTTACAGAGCGCTCAATAAAGTTGATTGCTTCCTCGACACCTTATTCGTAGTACTGCTAGATGGGACCTAAACCATAGCAACACGCTTCAACTCCATCGTGCCCCGATTATACTACACTCCGCGTCGGCACGCCCATGACTAAACAACAAGCAGCCATGAAATATCAAGTATTAAGAGCGTTGCGCGTTTCACTGGCCTTCAGTCGTTTGAGCATAATGCGTTTGAAATTAAATTAAATGGGAAGTGCTTCTCGTTTTCCATGACAATATATACCCGTAAAACGGGTGTCCAGTGCCGCCTGTATTACGCCTTCTCGATGTAATTCCTCATCACGTCCAAAAAGAAGCCGTTAAAAGGTGAAATAAACGCATTCTTCATATGTGGAACACGTCTCTCATAGATGACATAATGTGAGAACAGGGATATACCGCGATACCACTGCACAGCGGAATGACTGCAAACAGGCGCGGGTCCAGTATGTCGTGAGGGGGGGGGGGAGGGCACGTAACATTGTGGTCCCCCCTAGAGTTTGGGGTCCTCTCTAAACAAATTCTGCCATCAAATTTTGAGATAAAAAGGATATGTGCATTACATCCCTAGCTTTTAGCCAAAGTAGTGCTATAAGCTTTCAGCTTTTAGCCTTTTTTGTGCTTTTTAGCCCTCGTTTTCTTAGGGCTGCGCAGCATAACATGGGTTTCAATGCTTAAATTATTTATTTTCAGCATAAATGTGCATTTGTATATATATATATATATATATATATATATATATATATATATGTAATATTAAATACGGGGCCCACGCAAGCAATATGCATGACCTTAGGGGAGCATGACCAGCAGTCCTCATCCTAATTTCATTCTAGTTGACCGCTCCAGGAAACCCTAGCGTTCCGTTGGGGGTAAAAGTTCCTCACGTATGCGTCAAAGGATTGAAAATGAAATTAAAAAAATGCGATAAGACATCAAACCTCCAGGAACTTAAGTACAGGCACAGTTCAGGTGGGATAATCGAAGCGTGAGATTTCAGGCCGGTTTATTGGACACCCCAGTGGCGCACGTATACAGAGGGTCCGCGCATCGTTCGAGGAAAACATGGCAGGTAAACACGTTAAGTATACCTAATGTCCAATTAAGTAATCGCATCGCGTGCGTAGTTTGATAGATGCAGCATTGCACAAGAAACACTAGTTGTAAAGAAGACATCTTCATGCCAGGAGACAAGTATGCGTATATTTAAATTGTTGCGCGCAATCTTCAAGTTTAATCGAGGCAAGTAAGCATGCATCATCTTGGGACGTCACATGAGCAGCGTTTTTCATGTGAAGTACATCTAGAAATGGTGCTTTAGTCATTGTCTTGAACACCTTGACCTAATTCTTGGTACCGTTCATCTATGACTTCGAATTTAACTGTCCGGGTTTCGATCAGCTTTCCGCACGTACTGGATATGGGGTGTTCCTTTAATACCATATTGAAAAACATTCACCCTCATTCAGCGATATTCGCTACTGACCACGAAACATTTTTGATGTTAGCTTGCTATTGCTAAAAACCCGTCCCATTGTAGCCACAATGCTAGTGTATGATGCCAGAAGCGATTAACGCGAGCTTATTTCTTATTTGAACTTGTTTGAACTTATTAACCCGAACTTATGATGTCTGAATTTTACTGACAGTTGAGCAGTCAAGATCTGCATCCAGAATTGCCCACTGCTGGTGTCGATTTCGACAATTATATTTTCGGGCATAGCGCGGCTATAATTCCGTTTTAAAGTCCGCCTGCTTTCAATGTTTTTTAGCAGTCCAAAACGCAGGCAAACCTTACTGGGCTCAACTTTGGCAATCAGTAACCAATGCTCGGCGCGGCGCCTCCACTCGGCTCCATTGCGTTGTGGTACGGACATGGATCTGTTACTAAGCTAGTAATCCGGCCGGCCAGCCCCACGCGCGTGGTTTTCGTAGTGGTGTCGACTGTATGCGCGCGGCCGGCGCTGGGTGGGGCAACGCTGCCTGCCAATAAGGGCGATCATTCATACCCTGGCGGCCGCTGTAGGAACTAGTTTGGAAGCTTTGATCTTTGGACATTCTGTACCTTGGACAATACGTACATTAGACATTCTGTACTTTGGACATTCTGTACCCTGGACATTCTGTACATTGGACATTATGAAACAGGCCCGTTTGGAAACTTTGGTCTTTGGACATTCTGTACCTTGGACAATACGTACATTGGACATTCTGTACTTTGGACATTCTGTACCTTGGACATTCTGTACATTGGGCATTATGAAACGGGCCCCTTCCACTCTGCGCCATTTTGGAAGTTATTTCTCATCTTGGACATTGTGTACCTTGGACACTCTGTTCTTTGGACATTCTGTAACTTGGACATTCTGTACTTTGGATATTCTGTACCTTTGGACATTCTGTACCTTGGACAATATGATGCGGACCCACCCAGTACAGAGGCACATACGTTGGGGTTAACGCCCCGTCATGGGAGCCTACAATCTTCTCATACCACAGCCAAACAATATGGAACAAAGTGAGGACTTCTACATGCGTCTACAACATTACCATGTTGTGGCCAAACGGTGCATTCACGCGTCAAGCTGAGTGACATGACGTAGCGCAAGTTCACTACTAATCTCGTCATCGTACATCTGCTCGAGCTCCACAGCTGCGCCCAAAGTGGTTGCATGGTCGGGAGTCGGCACCGAGCCCTGGCTGCCGCCGGGTGTGAAGGCGCTCAGGGTCCATGTAGCGTCGGCTGGCTCCTTCGTAGCCTGTGAGATTCTGCAAGCAAAAGATAACGAGCGGTGGAAGCATCACAGTGGATGTGGAGATGTGATGTGGAGTTAATACCTATGATGACTGCAACAACTAAGGTGGGGACTTATTGGTTACTCTGCTCTGGCTTTAGAGCATAGGAGCAAACAAGCTGCATTAATGTTTTATACAGCATTGTCCATACAAGACTACATGAAAATGTGCAATTTCACGAATCAGACAGATTTCAGGCTGCTAGCCCCTTTAGTCATCTAGGTGTTCATACAGTCCTTATAGTCCCTGTAGGTCTTACTAAGTTCCTTGTGTTTGGCACGATATGGTCATTATAAGACAGTGTCAATATCAATCATTATTGCAAGTTTAATCATCTATGTCATTACTTAATGCAGTTTGTAGTATAATTTTGTATAAAACAAATTTCAGTCTTCTTGTTCAAAAAGTAAACTAACTTTCAAAATCCAACCCAAAAAGAAAGCACCCTGACCCAGATTCTGGTCTTCATGATGGTGTAGCTCCAGGAAGCACTGGGGTGCCTGGAACACCTTCCCTGTGCTGAAAACAATTAAGGACATCAGCGATCAGTATCAGAGAGATTAACAATGTACAAAGCTGTCGCACAATGTACAGGTTATAGGACAGCACTGTGACATGTGTGCCAAGCATGACACACAACAATGTTTTACTCGTTCATCATATAAATATTGATGTCAGAAATGACTGCAGCGCACTGAAATGCATGAATGAATGATGACTGAAAGCGGATATGGAAATGAATGAGACAAAAGGTGATCACGGAAATGCTATGTGCGTTCTAATGTTGAATAAGCTCAAGCCCGAATGACAAGGCCAAATATGAAGTGTCTGACAAAGAAAGTTAAAGAAAACCTAGGCATTTACAAACCTGCAGAGAGGGCACAACATTGGTCCTAAGCCTGTTCCTCTTGGCTGCCAGGCTGGAAAAGGCATGTGATGGAAAATGTGCCTGGGACACTCCATGCCCGCCTCCCCCGCCCCCCCCCCCCCCACGATGATTGGGAAATTAGATTACTATACAATACAATGGACATCTACTTCAAATGAGTAATGCAAATTGAAAATATCTGCCCACAGTGTGTGCGTTAATGATTATGCTAAGTGGTGATTCATCAGGAGTTCATCTGGGCTGCCAAAAATGTCTGACACATCTTGAAATGCTCGTCATCCCAAAAATCAGTGACACAAGCTGAAGCCATGCACCTATGAACTTTGCAAGCTGTGAGCATGGCGCATAGCTGCCACCAAATCTAGTCAATAGTAGCAAAATTAGTGTTTTTAAGTAGTGGCAGCAGCATAGCAATACCCAATCAATGTCCTTGCTGGAATATGACAGTTCGGAGCTCAGCCCAGTGCTATTCTGATTACAGCACATAGAGTTCAGTGATATGTTGAGCACACTGATGATTCCTGTAATCTGGAACAATGAATAATTTTTGACTGCTATCCCTGATCCTGGCCTGACTGACAAAATTCACACCGTTCATGCAAGTTTATGCAAGTTTATGCAAGCCACCTGTTTATGAAGTGGTTACATCAAATAGCCAAGGTGCGGCTCCATGACGGTAGTGAGATAGGTAGGAGATGGAGACAAGTACGATGACGATGATGATGATTTGGGCTTTAGGGCGCGCCATTTACATTGGTCATGTGGTGCCCATAACCTAGTGATGGAAACAAGTAAAAATATTTGAATTTACTCAAAAATGTTATAGAAAGCCACTTGCCAATGTGCCATACAATGTTCTCCAAGAGCGTGCCATACTTGGTCCTAGTCAATTACTCTAAAAATTAATATTTTGTATATTTTTGTAGCGATGAAGTACATAAACAAAACTATTTCTGAAATCGATGTCAACCGTAAGCCCAGCTTCTAGCACTTGCACCCGCTATTCAGCTGCCGCGTGCATCTGCTTTTAAAGACTGTTTAATTTTCGAGGGCATTTTTGCCGGCATGTTTGAAGGCATTTTTGCCATTTTTGCGGGGCGCGTTCGGCCGGCAGATACTCTTGTAAAATCATCCGTAACGTTGGGTTTTTTCGGAATGGCGTTCGGCAGTACCGTCACGGAAAATTGTCCGATAATTTCCGTAGCGATGGAGAATCCCGGAGAATTTTCAGAGCATGGTCAAGACGGAGAATCTGTTTTCGCCATGCATAGCTATGGCCGTTGGCTGTGGATGGCGTATGGGAGACTCTGGGGAATTATTTCCGGACCGGTCGAGTGCAAACGGAAAATCTCCACGGACGATTATCGAAGAGATTATTATTTGTTAAATAATATTTCCCTTGGCCGAGCACGCCCGTGATTTCATACTCATTCCTCAAACTGACAACAATGGAAAGCGACCGCATACCATACTCGAGGCTGCATGCCATATTGAGACGTGCATACCCTGAACTTATTGCTGAGATGTCAGTGATACGCCAGACATATTCGGCGTGAAGTGTTTTTAACAGATTGGGAGCGAGGTACTTACGCGAACACAGTCAAATCATTTTATTTTGTCCTGCGATCACCGCACACACATCACTCCATGTTCCGCACCCCCACCGATGTGAACAGGACACTGCCTGGGAGTGGGGGGAAAATGCCCGTCGACAAATGCCGCAAACCCGAAATTCCTCACGCTTATGTTCGCGATACGCATTCAGCAGTACAATCTTAATGACAGCCAATCACCTTTCGCCTATTGTAGCACATGTGCAGCGTTATCGTCTTTGCGAATGAATCAGCCGCCATACGGCTTTTATCACAAATGAAACATAAACAAACGAACGACCAATCACATCACGAGTATCTTATGACGTTTCTATGACGTGATTAATCAGAAGGCGATTTTGAAATAGGGGAACTATAAGGATTTTGACGTTTTGAGGTTGCGTAACTCAGGAACCAAATCGTTTTGGGTCTTAAAAATGACATGACCGTGAGCTGCATCAAAAGGTCGTTAAGATGGCTATTTCAGTTCAAAACGCCATACAAATGTGGAACATTCTCTTTAAACTCAAGCTGAATTGCGAATCCACTCATGAGTCAATCCTTTTGGGGTGAGTTATATGCTGTATCTGCCCACTACGAAAAGTGCTGGTTTGGGTCATGGCCCGAATCATATTTGTCATACGGCACATGGGCTGAGTTATGAACTAAATATTTTCAGTAAAATTATATCAGTGAGTTATGTGGCTGAAATCAAATTGGCAGCACAAGGAGATACAGTATGCCCTGGGCAAATTCACATCTCGTTTCAGTACCAACATTAAGACCATGCAGCATAAGTTATAAAACATTTTACAGCGCCAGCACAGAATTCGTATCACAATTTCTAAACATAAAGGACAATGTTGTTCGTCCTGAAATGTGTCCAATGTCAGCTAGGAACCAGAGGATATATATATATATATATATATATATATATATATATATATATATATATATGTATATATACATATAGATTGATTGATTGATTGATATAAAAATATACCAATAAATAGCCAGAGCTTAATCGTATATTTGATTTTGCAACCTGCATGAGTCATCAGTAAAGGCATTCAATATAAGCAGTTTGACCGAATTCAAACGAAAAATGGAGCAGCTGAGTCATAAGCTCAATGAGGCTCCACACTCTGTGAGCCAGTCCGGAACCGATTTAAGACATTTGAGTCAAACCCAAGTGTAATCCCAACCGCTGCAGTCTCGAGACTAGTATCCCGTTCTCCGCACTACACGGATACCAATCTTTCCCAAGTCCGCGTAGTCCAGGTTATATCAATATCATACCTAGCCGGTAGATAACACTCTTCTGTAAACAAAGTGTAAGAGCTTCTCCATGCACATTTGCCAACCGTCCCCCCTCCCCCCCTTCACCTCACCCACGCTCCTCACCGACCAACTGACCGACCTCGCTACGCCTTAGCAGCAACTCGCAATCAAATGAGAATTGGGGTGCCAAACAGTGAAGGTTTCCGCTACCATCGAACGAAAAGAAATCCACGAGGTTCACCTCTAAATAGCCTCATTCCCTCAGGGCCCCGTTCTTAATAGGCAACTGGAAGTTATTCCTTACTTCGAGTAAGCCCAGTTGATTGATGACGTAGATTCCGACTTACCTATGACGTCACGGCCCAAGCCCATTGCTTACTTGGCCGAGAGGCGAAGTAAGTGCGGTACCTCGTGGTTATTTACATAGCAACGCATAGCAACGCCCACGGCGCGTTTGCGGATGGGGTATGTTGGACGCGGAGGGTTTCCTCTAGCCCCCTAGATCTGCCATTTACGAGTTACGCTACGGGTACGAGTTACGAGTTGCGAGTTACGGGTACGGGTAGTTTACTACTATTGGTTGAAAATGCATTTGTCAGACTTGTTTGCTTTCCCTTAATGACAGTTCGTCAGGGGTTGCAGGTCACGGCATACCTGGCCGAGGCGCAGTAGGTACAATGATGTGTCAGCCATCATTGCCTGCGTAGTGTTTCGATCGCAAATGCACACTTAAATGCATTGTAACTTAACTTCTTTGCCCAGGTGCTACTGCATTATATCAGTGAAAGTATTCCTGTAAGGCAGTGCGTATACACCCTCCCAAACAGATGGCGGTTACACACCGGGCTATACACCCCGCCCCCCCCCCCCCAAATCTTTCAGATGGGTGTACGTGTCAAGGATATGCGGATTGGCAGTCTTGGAGGGAAGCAAGTACAAAAATGAGGAATCCCGTGCAAAAAGTCGGATCTATGCGTGATTGACATCAAACGATCACGAAATCCATCAACTTTGAACCAGTCCTTTTCGGATCACGAATTTTCAGCCGCCGAGCATACATCTCTAGTGGATAGGTGGTTAGCGTGCTGGTCTCGTACGCTGGCAAACCCGGGCTCGAAGCTCGATGACGGTCGTTGCTAAATGGGTGGCTTCATCAGCGCGCTCACGAGCTCCCTTCGGACCGGCAATTCCGAAGCTGCCTCGACCAATCACTCGTCAGTTCTGCGGTCTGCTTTCTTTTTTCCTGGAATACCCCGCTCACTCAGCATTGCCTGAAGCTTGTATTCCAACTTTGGAAGCGCCGGTAGAATTGTACGGCAGAGCAGCTGTGCAGCGGCAGTCGGGAGCAGGACCAGGGTTGCAGTGTACGTTTTGCGCCGTACGCGCAGATGCATTGCCTCGCTAGCCAGTCGACAAAAGGGTTTTAAGTTGGTGAGACGATGTAAGACGTCGCAGCTGTGCTTCGTGGTTTGGATAGTGGAAACTGTATGCGGCTCCAGCTGTTGCTGTGCAGTGTTTACGAAGATTGAGGTACTGAGTTTGATCACAATGTGATAACTAATAATACGATGCCTGGGTCCCATTATGTATTGCATGATTGATTTCTTCACTGTCTTATGACAAAGGCCTAGTGTCAGGAACTGGCTATGGAGATTTCATTTTTCTGTTCACTGCATTTAAATGAAAATGAAAGGTGAGTGGTTATGTTTTCCATGAATGAGTTGTTGGTTCCATGAACAAATTCTGTTCCCTGTTTTGTTGTGAACCAGTCTGTTCGAATCGCTCATGGCATATGACTATGAATGTAAAGGAATTAAATGACCGATGTTTCATTTGTGTATGAGCATAATAAAGAACTTGACTCAAATTTTAATGTTTCTGATGCACATCAGTATATACAACATGATTACAATATATATTATTCTGTACACTGGTGGTGCTGATTAACATTGATGCATAGACATGGGGCCAGGTAACAGAAAGATGTTTTTTATGTAACCTAAATACATATCAGACCAAGCACCAGAAAGCTGCAATGGCTTGAGCATGCAACAAGAATTAACAACCTGAAGGTTTGAAAAACAGATAATTTAATTCTCTCCATAATGCCTCCATAATGCTCCAGGGGGTATGGCACACAAGAGCTTTTCAAATTATTCCTATGAAAATGATGACATGAATTACGAGAATATATTGTCACATGCCTCAACACCATCGTTTAAAATTATGGTGAGCTATTTAAGCCTTTAAACAGTGCAAGAGCGTATGCTTGGTATCTACAAATGAAATGTTGGCCTGAAAACTGGTTTGCTAGGGATCTCCATGCTGTTCATGCATGGTAGCCATCAGTCTTAACCACCTAGTTTAAAAGCTGAGGTATTATGCTATCTTTTTAAACCTAACAGGCGTTCACAGTGGTGGGAAGATAGTGACTAGCGCTTTGGGGCAAAGTTTGTACTGTTGTCACACAAGGACGACTGAACAGGCTGCAGCAGATGCTATTCATTTTCGGTGGGGTTGGGAGTTCACCCTGTATTTGACATGCAGTCATGTGGTGTTCAGGGACCACGCCAACGGGTTCTCAGGAGAATATGACATTTTTTCATGCAACGCCATGGAGTTCATGTCAGATCTTTCGAGCAGATAAGGTGGGCCGACACCGTGGCTACCTCTTCCATGTTTTTGCATTCGCTTGATATGTAAACACAAGTCGTATCATTGGATGTATTGCATACGATTGTCGCAGTGGTAAAGCGCAAGTCAGCGTTTTCAGTCCGTCACAAATGTACATGTGCAGTTTGCATTGAGAACGCGGCGTTATGGCCCCGTATCCGAATGCTTATACAGGCCTAAGAAGCATAACATAACTCTTCTTGGACTGGCCACCCAGCCAGCACATGGCAGCGACCTGAACTTGGCTTCCGCGGGCCTTGTTCGTCGAAGCTAAGTTCAGGTTCAGCTAAGCCAT